AACTTTTGTTCGATGAACTTTGTTGAACGAACAGACATTCTTAATGCATCTCTCTGTTTGAAGGCGCTATCATTTTGTTTTGGGCACTGTTCGGGTCTAAAGTATAGGAAATCATAAAATTTCCCAATCTTTTGTTGGGTTTTATAATACTTCTTGTTTTTCTTTAGCAGTATTGATTTTTTGGTACGCCGACTGTATAGTATATTTGAGTCACGGTTTAAGTGTTATTTGCTGTTTTTTTTTCATTGAAATGTAGGAAACGACCTCGAAAATACGAAGAAAGCCCTCGATTAGTAGTATTTACGTCACGTTTTTGATACGCCGATCCTAAGCAACTGTTGTTTTCTGACGCCGGAACATTTCCTTTGCGTGCTTATCGGCTGTTACCGTTAGAAATTGAGTTCTTTCTTGGTGACGGACGAGGTGAAACCTAATATGTTGTTTATCAATGGAGGAAAAACCTCACATTAGTGAAAATTCCTAACATCCAAAATGTAGTTTTCGCAATGAAATAGGAGGCGAGTAACCATCAGCTAATTCCAGATAAGGACTTTTAAAAGTTTAGATTACAACTCGTAACCATTTGTGACCGAAGATGTTCCACACCGGAGCTAGCTGCATTGGTGGGTAAATCCGGAACACTAAACAAACGTGATTGCAGGTCAGCAGTCACGACGGCTTTCCACCAGAAAGATCAAATCGTGCTTCAAAATGGTCCACTCACTTTTGCTTTGCAAATTTTGTACTCCTAAGAATTGAAACCTGAGAGGTGGGAAATAAATTTAGTCCACTATTTCGGATTGGATCCCCACATTCTTGTTAGTAGAAATCATAGATCTTGACAATTAAGAGGAAGAAGGTGAAGCAACTTGATAATAAAACGATCATAAAAGACTACGAGACATACCTTGGGCTGCTCCATAGAGCTCCCAAAATATCCTATTCCAAAGGATAAGGAAGTGTAAGCAGCACCAATCTCTACAGCTTTCAACTTTGGAGACCTTCCTGTAACCTAAAAAGCAACACATAAACATACACTTATTCTACACAAATAAAACATACCTAACACGAAAAGGTTCTAGCTTGGGACTCACCGTTATGGGAGCATCAGCTTGCACAAGTAGAATTCCGGCACTTTCAGTACAATCATGATTACTCTCTTGAACAACAGAGCGTAAAACTTTCGTGCAAGCAGAGGCAGGACCTGCCTGTGAACTAACCAATGAAAATGGCTGTCAAGTTCACATACTTGGTTTTATCCGGACAAGAATAGACATGGTATATAAACTAAGCAACTGACAGACATTGTAGGTCCGCCCAACTCTACAGTTCTAATTATAACTTTGAAGAATCATGACTGCTTCAATTTTGGCCACTTCAGACCGCTCCTGTCTTGAATTTTAACATTCACATCAAGGAAAAACATTTAAAAAACAAATTATATGGTAATAGGACATAGAGCGACAAAGAAACGCAGGACTCGCGAGCTGCAAATCCTTTCATTACATATTCTCCAGCACCACTAGTATAGCAGCCAACTATACACGGAGCACCAAAAAGACCTTTGGAGGACACCCAACACCCTGCACCATACATTGCTGCTAATCCCACACGTCCACCAACCTGTATTTTTTTTTTTTTTTTATACAAAAAGCCGGTTAGATTATCAATCACTAGTCACTCCAAACAGATGACAACCATCACTAGTCACTCCAAACAGATGACAACCAAAGAATGCAAATTCTTAGAACCCTGTCACCTTCAGTGCAATTCCCCCACTTGAGGCGCCGGATGCTATTTGTCCTTCAGCGTCCACACAAATAACTCCAACAGTATCCATGATGCAATCCTCTTCAGCTCCATTATGCTTCAAAGAATCGCATGGTTGAGCTACTAATTCTAAACACAGATACAACAAGTGTTAGTACTCGGAAATTAAGAATGTACACATGCAGATGATAAGTTGTACTGAAAATAATTTTAGCTTTGAAAGCAAAGGCATAGGTTTTTTAATCATCAAACTGCGATGAAATACCTGATATTCCAGCGGTCTCTTGAGGAATACAAGAAAGTCTAAAATCAGAAACCTCTGTATTTTCTTTTGCATCATCCACCATTGATTTGTACTTTCTCCATTGTGCTTTTGCTCTTTCTGTCACCAGCCACTGTTTGGAAATACACAAGATTAATTCATCTTTATTAAAAAAAAAAAACAAAAAATTACAATTGAAACTTTAGCCATTAAATGGCAAAAATAGATATGTATTTTTCTCAATGTTTATTTTCCCAGTTAACTTAAGCATAACAAATAAAGATTAGTGATTGATTACCTCATCATCAGCTGCAGTAATTGCTGAAACAAGGCCCTTGGACTTTGCCCATGCATGGGCACCTTCACCAACAAGGAAGCTACACAATAACAAATTCGCTCCATTATTAAATTAAAGGAAAAGAAAATAAGGGAAAAGGAAAGAAGAACAGGAGGATCGAAAGAAATAAAAAAAAAAAATGCTATTACGATTTACAAATATTGAAGGAAAAAAATAATAAAAAGAAAATATCGCTAAACGCAATGATTGGAATGAAAGCTATAACTGTCTGATTAAGAGAGATGAAATAGTACATGGGTGGTATTCGGCCCAACGCCAACAGAGGGGATCCCATCATTTGTTCCTTGGCCAATAAAGCAGCGACCTGGATGGGGTTTCTGACACCTGGTCTACAACATATGCAAGGGGATATTCAGTGACATGGGGGAAAATGCAGAGTGGAAATCAGTATGGAAACAGTAATATGTTTAGCAGAATCAGATAAACAGATCATCTTAAACCTGGAATTGCTCCGACAGCTCCAAAAACTCCAGAATTTCCATCCATAATACTGGCATCGCATTCTACACGACCATATTCTGTCCAATTGGATCCTCTGCCCGCATTCGTGCTTGGGTCATCCTTTAAGACAATAATTTAATTAAAAACACAATCAATAAACGGAAAGAAACTTCTACTGACATCCTCCTCGTAACTGCATATAAAGAAAATAAGAGGCACAATATCTAATCTTCTTTTGAACCTGAATCTTCTTTATTACATCATTCTACATGCACGTTGGTGCTTTCGTGAAGCACTCTGTCCTAGGATCCTAGCTACTTGAACATAATCGGATTGAATTCCTCCCAGAAATCTATATAACTCCAAATGTACACTTCAAAGTACCAAAGTTAAACCAGTAAAACCATGATTTTTGTACAAAACATGAGCTAAAATCCTCCGTAAATTTCCACGGATAGCTCTTTCCACATTCACATAACCATAGCTCTTGCACAAGAAGAAAATCAAAACTTTCAAAATCCCACAAATACTAGATACAACATGCATATCCCGTAGCTAACATTTTGAACACGCAGCGCCAAATTACGAATTCCTACTTCCCAATATACAGTCTTCTAAGAACATATTAACAAAACCATCACTAAAAGAAAACAAAAACAAACATATATACCCTGTATACACATATAGACAAACACACACAGTTATATACATGTAGATTGAAAGAGAAAATGCACCTCCAAGACTTGAACAGCTGCAGTAACAGCATGTATGCATCCATCAGAACCCTGAAGCAAGAATAACACAAAAACAACATTGAAATTACAAAAATGCCACTGCCAATCTTTTCAAGTTTCAATCTTTCCTTGTCTATTTCCCTCAGGCTTTGTGGGGAACCAAACAGAAGCTGGAATGATACAAAAAGGAAAATAAAATGAAAAATGTGCTTGAGAGAAAGACCTCGCGGATAACTGAACCGGCGACGAGACAAGCGCGTTTAACCGCGGACTTGAGGGCTTTCTCGTTGGATGGCGCGTGGTATCCCGCGCCGACGTGAACCGCCACGAAGAATGTGGCGTTTTCCTCTTCTTCGTGCATTTGGTTGGTGGCAGCCATGGACTGGCTGATGGATCTAAACACTGCGTTTTGTCTTCTGGCTTTACTCTTTTATTTTTGGTCTTTCTTGATGAGCCTAAAATTTTTTTGCACTTTCTTTGTTTTTTGTTGTCAAAATTGCACTATATTTGTTTGATTCAATGGGCATTTTATTTTATTTTATTGTATTTTCAAAAAATTGGATATTTATTTGTTTGAAAACATGGGATATTTTAATTGATATAATAAATCATTTGGAGAAAGATTTGAACCAAAGTGAAGAGTGTGAAGCACACTATTTATGTCGCTTTGCTATGCCTAATGGTTACGTTTTGTAACACTTATTTATGTCATAGGTATCGGAAATGTAAAACACAAAATTTATGCGTGTAGACATGTTTTCAACCACTTAACCTATTAATCTTTTATTAAAAAAATTGTAATCTTTACGTGAAGAGATATGTTCTCAAGCATTTAAGCTATTAATCTCGTATGTTTATTTATTAGAAGCGATATTATAATTAGTGTTGAATGCATGGGTTAAAGAGGAAAGACCTATCACCAAAATAATTTACCGCTTGTTACTTGTAAGTTGATTAATTAGTAATGTGAAACGTATAAATTGAACAATTTGATAACTTGTTGCTCTCGTATGTTTATTTATTAGAAGCGACATTATAATTAGTATTGAATGCATGAGTTGAAAAGGAAAGACTTATCACCAAAACAATTCACCGCTTGCTACTTGCAAGTTAATTAATTAGTAATGTGCAACGTATAAATTGAATAATTTGATAACTTGTTGCTCCACCAACTATTTTATTTATTTATTATTATTTTTTTTTTAAGAAACTAGGAATAACATTACCAGGGCAAAGATGCCAACACAGAATAAGGAAAGCCTACACCAAGGCAAGCAAGCAACTAAACAAACAAAAAACCGAGCAGCAGAGGTGGGTAGGGAGTGAAAACGCTAGAACCAAGTTCAAGCGTTGCCCCCTCCTCTGCCACAAAAGTTTAAGGGGGGCAAGGTAAACCATCGTTATTACATATAGCAGAAGCAATTTGAAAAGGAAGTGAAGAATGCCTTTCACCAGATCAATTTATATATAATAGGAATCCGTGGTACTGTCGTAGCACAAAATTACAATGCAGAAACGAAATTTCTCGACCAGGATATTTTGAGTCTATAATAATGTTACATATTACAGATTTCTGCTTAACATTTATTCCCAAATACAGAATTACAAATGGCATTTAACTTTTCTTGTTCGAAAAATGGCATATATTGCTCGAAAGCAAAAGGTTGGATCCACCTCAAGGGCTCAGGAAGAGAGCTGTGCACTGCTTGATTGTATCTTCGGGGCTGGAAACTGCAGAAGGGTAGAGCATCATCAGATATACATATTCAGTAATATTTTTTGTTTAGGTATGTAAGTTCTAATGAATGAGAATCGGCCACAAGTAACTTTAAACCTGGGACGAGAGCTTACCTGTATGACCTACGGTTCTTTCAGATTCATAGATTTCGTGGTCATTTCCTCCCTGCGGAAACAGGAACTCACAAGTTTTAGGGCCCGAATATCAGAAAACTTCATTGAAAAGAATAAATGTGAAACAGAAAACATGAACAAGCTGCTACTCATGAATTCATAGAAAAGGAAGTTGTACATAGAAGAGGGTTGAGCCATCAAAGTATGGACAAACCTTGTAAGTTTTGTCACCAAAGAAATGGATCTCTTGAAAATCATCTAGGTATCTCAAGCAGTATGTCTTGTCCCAACCTTGCGGGAAAACCTGGTTCAAGCATTGTAAACCATTGGCGTTCAATTTCAAAAGTCTAGTCACCTTTTTACTGGACTAGTTCAAGAATGAGGCAGGCAAAAATAAATAAATGGAATAATCATTAAACCATAAATGAACATAGAATCGCTTACATCAAAACTTATCTGTCCTCCAATGGAAAATGTCAGGTTGAGGTGACCAAACTTCTCACGAAGGACGGAAACCATTTTTGGGCGTATATTCTGAACCTGCAAAGAATTACCATCTTTCAAGTTATATACAAGCGAAAAATAAATTGATATCACTTAATAATTAAAATATAGGCACAATTCAAATTTACAGGTCAGGTATCTAACCTTGTCATATTTTTCAAATTCATCCCTTTCTTCTTGGCTACAGTTTCTCCCAATTGGTGATACATTAAGCATCCCACTTCGGAACTCGATAAATGTACCCCTACAGTTATAAAGTTAAAAGTAAAAGTTTTAAGTTTACTGTAGATAGCTTAAGATTTAACAAAGGCTTCCACTCCACTAACCTCTTTATCGGTATGTCCAAGTCAGCAATATAATGAAGCGTAAAGTTGATGAATTCCTGCACAAGTGCATGCTAATCGTCTCAGATCAATCTCAAGAACAACATAATTAAGTTTCCAAGGTGCTGTGTGTATGTTGTGCTTGAAACTGCTTAAGATACCTTCCAAATAAGGAATTTGAGAGTCATAGCATACAACAGAGCACAGGTTTTACCTTGAGTTTGTCTTCTCCAAGATATGTCTTCAAGCTCTACAGAATGAAAAACGCAAAATGCATCAGTTTGGAACTTTTGTCACAACATGAAAGATTTAAAAAAATGTAGAAACAATGAAAAATAATGCAACTCCGTCAGAAGTCCTATCAGAAACAAATCATGGTTATCAGGCACCCATACTAAAACCCAGCCAAATCCATTTCAGACTTGGACTTAGTGTTCAGGAATTTCAAACTGTAATAGAAGACAATGGTGTGAAACATAAATATGGACCAGAAGAAATCTACGGCAGACAAGTGCTTCATTATAAGATGAATTTACTACTTTCGTTAGCCACAAATACTTTCTTCACAGAACAAAAGAAAAATTCTCTCAAAAGATCCAAAGAACAAGATTGTAACATGGAAATATTTATCTTAACTATCCATTTCTTCTTTTTCTTTTTTCTTGAGGAGAAGGTTTATATCTTTACGATATATACCATGCTCAAATTCAGGGTATTTGATCATTAGAATTTTAGCTTTGCTTATTGCTTTCAGCCATATATTGGGCCAGAAGGGGGCCACAAATTTACCCCAACAAAACATCCCTCTCGCCATTAGATAAGAAAATCAACTTTTACGTAATTGATTCAAGCATCACCTTTAATTAGGACACTATGAAATTATGAATGTGACAATTTGTTTCTATTATCACACTAAGCTGTATAATACCTGGGTGCCAATCAGCGTCCTATCTTTGTGAGCCACAAGACCATTTTCGGAAAATACATAATCATGGTCATCAATAACTGCAAAGACAAGGACATAGTTAATAAACATAGTCCAGAAGATAAAGCATGTGTCCACAATGTCCCTCGAGAACTAGCATTGAAGGACACCTAAGAGTTAATGTAAAAGGAACAGGGCACCAACATAGCGTATTGTGTTATTAAGACAATCTAAATAGCCAATATCAGATGCAACAAAACAATTTCAAAATTCATCCAGGCACAAAATTTAAATAAGTGTTTATATAACGAGTAAATATCCAAACTTGAGCTCCAACAACTGAAGCTTGCATTGATGTATCATATGCAAAAATTAAGTGTTGAATACATTTGGAGTTACTCGATATACTTTCTACAAAATAACGGTATACACCTGTTTTGCCAAGCTGCTCCGTTATCTTAGAAAGGTCAGATCCTCCCACAATGCCCACTGTGACAACCTGCACTCCGACAAGGCTTTGATTATTAAGAAGAAACTAGCAAACCTCACAAAGATGTACACTTTCAGGCTAACGGGTTACATACCTTCCTAAGTTCTCTCATAAACCCCAACATTTCTGGAGTAACAACCTGATTTGAGCGAAATACATTCAATTAGAAAATTTTCTCAAGCTGATTAAGAAATGAAAAAGATTATGCCTTTCAAATCGATAACCAACATGATAAACCGGTACATAAAATTCCAACTGAAAATTAAAGAGTGATTTAAAAGGACAAAATAAAAACCAGAGATGTATACCTTTCTTGGAGCTGTGAGAGTCCCATCAACATCAAACAAGGCAAGCACACCAGGCCTCCTAACAGCCATTTACAGTTAAATCTAATTTTCCTGCTGACAAATACACAATGCTCAATTAACAATTTAATCTCTTGAGTTTCTGTGAACATCAGTAAATCAGCGAGCTTGCAGAAAACAGCAAAATAGATATTACCCAGATGTTCAAAAACATTAAGATCCAAAACCCAATACTTTTTTACTTAAAAGTAAAATAATTTGAGAAAGCAATTGATCGAATGGCCTAGATTGTAAACGAAAGTACCAATAAGTAATTAAAAACTGAAAAGCATCCCAAATTATATGCACCCAAATGAGTGGAAAGAAGAAAGAAGAAAACTTTAAGATTCAGGAACAAGCGGTTCTGCAGATGATGAGCCCTAATCAATGGAAAATGGCGATTGATAAGTAAATTGGCAAATGACAAAGTGAAAATACAAACCCGGTAATTGCGCTAATGAGAGAGAGAGAGAGAGAGAGAGAGAGAGAGAGAGAGAGAGAGAGGTATGAAATGAAATGGAAGTTTGAGGAGCAGAGAATTGGGAAGCAGATTTCTTCCAGTGGCGGAACTTGAGCAGTTGGGATTATAAAGCGATATGAAGGGGTCCCAGAACAATATTCCTATTTACTTTTTGAGTCTTGGCTTAACTTCGTACTAGTTTCATTAAAAGATATGAGCAAATTCATCTATCATTGAAATTTGATCTAATGACTGCAATTATTATAATTTTTAGAAAAATTTCATGTTGTAGCCGTTGAATCAAATTTTAACGGTTTGATGGGTTTGCTCAAGAGGCTTAGCCTCCTAAGCTTAGAAATGGATCCTGATCAATCACTAAACAATACGATTTAATTTAGTGTTTTTTTTTTTCATTTATATATTCTAAAGTCTTAGCTCGTTAGTTCGACAAAAAATTAATGAGATACAATAAGAAACTTCGTAGGAGCTGTATCTTGCATTTGCACGTAGAGATAACGTTGCCCTTAATTTTGGTTGGGTGGGGTAAAGGTTAGAGAATGAGGTGGTGGATCTGGTTTCTCTTTTTTTTTTTTTTTGTCAAACGATAGATATATTAGATTCAATGTTAAATTTGAAAGTCGATTGAATTAGAACTCATGTCGTGGTGCAAGAGCAACACTTATTTTCACCATTGTGACAGAGGGTCACTCACAGGTTGTGGATCTAATTTCAAATCTGTTCAAAAAGTGCACTAATTAATGCAAATTATTTGTAGAGTTGGGGAATATGCTATAGTATCTATTACTAACCTCTTTTAGATAGCGGTGTACTTAATTTATGATACGATTGCGTCTAATAGCCAACTGCTTGCATATAAGTGCTTTTGGATCATGAAAGCCCTTGGTATTGCATATAAGACATGAAAGGAAAACAGAAGTGTATTTTTAAAAATACGTAGTGCATGTATAGTCCGCGAATTTAGTAACTATGGTGGGCACTACGTAATTTGGCTATTGATTGAGAAGCAGCGACTAGTGGTTGAAGCATCTCCTTAATCTAGACAAAAATGAGTTTAGCATTCACTTTCAGTTTGTTTTCATTTCGGTAGGAAACTTCTTTCTTTGGTTGTATTATCACCATCTCATAAACTAGTCAATTTTTCCCTTTTGCAGTTAGGAGGAAACTTCTCAACATGTCTCACTTCACTGTTTCTGGTTCATAGTAGTGTATCTTACAACAAAACTGATCTTTTACGGCGCACAAAGGGTGCAATAAACGGTTATTCACGGCTTATGAGTCTCCAAGCAATAAAAGCCCCTATCTTAAAAGATGTTTTCTCTTTTTGCACTGCTCGCTTTGTTTTCGTCTATTGATTATCTTTTATTTCCCTTACTCAATCATTAGTTGCTAACTTGTAATGCAAGTCACTTAATTACGTGGGATGCAAGAAAGTTGATCACCTGAATCTCAAACTTGCAGCATTTACTTCACATACAGTGGACAAGTAATATATCTATAAGAAAGAACTTATTCTTTTGTAGAAGAGTCATCGCTCAAATTCGCTTGCAACACAAAGTCCCTCGAATTCAACACTGCAAACCCTTGTCTTTCACTTATTCAAATAGTTCTTACAACATCTTAATAAGGCGTCGCTTCTTTACGGATGAAGTATTGGCCAGTAGGTCCGCCGCTGGGGAGTAGCGCCAACCTGACAACGCTTTCCGCACCTTCGTCGATGGTTAAGATGCCCGAATTGCAGGTTATATCTGTTTTGACAAATCCAGGACAGACACAATTGATGCAGAAATTGGGCCACGTTTTGGCTAGAATTCTGGTGTAAGCGTTCAAGGCTGCTTTCGAGACTGAGTAGGCTGAAAGGATTGGAGGCCAATTTTTGGCTTCTACCAAACCTTGTTTAAAATCTTCTAAAAACTCACTCACTACTCCATCTATTCTCTCTTCTGTGAGACTCTCAGCATCACTCAGTACCCCTTTAGCCCATCCATCTGAAAAAAACTGAAACAATATGCACCACAGGACAGTTTTAATTTAATTTCCGAATAGAAACATCGTGGAGAATTGCTCAAAATTAGACCTTTCACTACCGATTCTCGTAGAAAGCAAAAATCGCTTTGGAAACTAAGCAAGCGTCAGTAGAAAAATGGTAAGAACATAGTTTTCAACCATACTGACAATCATTGCAAACTTGATTTTCTTAGGAGAATGCCAAAAAAGAAATATGGTTTTCGAGTTGTTTATATATCATACCATTAATTGACCAGCATAAGAAGAAACAATAACAAGCCTTGGTGAATCGGATAGCTGGAGGAGGGGCAGAAGTGCTTCAGTCACTCTTTTCGTACCATGGTAGTTTGTTTCTAGACACTTTTCTCCTAACTCGTAGTTTGGTGTTGCTATTTCGCTCCAATCAATATCTTCAAGCTTCTGCATCCAGGTGAAGAAAGTTAAAACTTATCCCGAATGATTGCAGGATCGTCTTCCCCAAATAATCCCAGATCCATAACTGGTTTGCTAAATATAGCATGATTTTCTTAAGAACACAATTTGACACGATAAGTTTGAGGAACTTCATATCAAGCACATATATCTTCGTAAGCAAACTTTTTAAAAGCAACTCAATGATGCAATACCAAAACCAAACTGTCTTTATATAATTTGTGATGGAGAAAGTTTTGGTATATAGAATTAATCTTACCTTACCCGGAATAGCTCTAAAAGCTTCGCCGTTTAGTATGCTTCCGATAACTCCTGCATTGTTTACCTACAGATCACAAGTTCTAGCATTACCATCTTTGTCATGTCAACGAAGTTAACCAAAAAAAAAGTTCGAGCATTTGGGGTTTGATCATTACCAAAATATCAAGTTTTCCAAATTGAGTTTTGACAAAATCTGCAAGGGAAGCAATGCTAGCAGAATCCGTTACGTCGAGCTGGTGAAAAACCACGCGATCAGAGACGCCAAACTGTTTCAATTTTTCAACAGCTTCAAGACCTCTCTTCTCATCTCTGGCAGTTAACACTACTATGGTCCCATTTGAAGCCAACTGCCTAACAGTTGCAAATCCAATTCCTTTGTTTGCCCCTGTCACAACTGCATACCTGACCAAAAAAAATAGGTGTTATTTATGTGGCTATGAGAGTCTAATGGGAAATTCCAGAACAAGGAGATGAACCTCTTCGTCGCCTCTGCCATTGTCGATGCTTTTTGAAGCCTATTTTCAGCATTTTAAAGGGGTGTTGTCACAAAAATTCAATTTTGTGTGCGATAGCAGTTTTGTCGTTTTTTGTTTAGGCAGGGTTTTGTACAGTCAAGAAGCGAGGCGGGGGTAGAGAGACGGGTATTTTTATGACATGTTGGTGAGGAAAGAGAAAAGAAAAAACAGTACTATTTTTTTGGAATTGCCCAGAGCCGGCAACCGTAAAATAATGATATCGAGTTTATCAACCACGGTAGTCAGACCTTCCACTTCAGTTCCACCATAGGAATGGCTTCCTCATGCTATTCACTATTTAATTCATTCAATGAATAGTATTTGTCCTTAATAAACAGTAATTACCTTTTGCATCTTCATCCTTACATTGAATAGCCCTGATAATAGGCAATAAAATATTAGTATATTTTTTATTTATAAAATAATACAAAAGAGTTTAATTTGTAATTTTGGATAAGATTTTTAATCGTTCTCGTTGCGCTACGTGTCATTATCCAAAAAGACAATTATTGGTGATGGATTTCGATGAGATTTTTATCCAATGTCATCGTGCCACGTGTCGTTACCTTTTCAGAATCGTTGAGGATAGATTTCTGATAAGATTTTTAACTAATCACGTCGCGTCACGTGTCACAATCTGTTTACAATCTTTGTGGATAGATTTCGATCAGATTTTTAATGAATGACAGCATACCACGTGACATTATCTACAACCTAATCCTTTCTGAATCCTCCATATAATCCACCATCAATCCTCAGAAATCTCACACCAATTTTCCGAATATCTCTATCATTATTCATAGTTTCTGCTTCATTTTTTACCAAAATCAAAATATATATGTATCATTCTTCATAGTTTCTACTTCCTTCTTACAATGTCTTCTTCTTCAAGGATGATGTGGGAAATCGATCAGTAAGAGGAAGAATCAATTAACCAATTAGAATGAATGTTCAATCTACAGGTGGCCCAAAATGAAATGGATGATGATGAGGAGCGTAGAAGGAGAGATGACGAAGTAAGAATGGGTAGAGCCTCACATTCCTGTCGAGTCATCCAAGCTGTGGGTCAGATATGCAGGCCCAGCTGTTCCGGAAACCTTGATAGAAGCAGACAACGATGAAGTATGGAACTCTTAGATGATTATTTTGTCTGTAATAGTGCATTCTCTGATACGTATTTTAGACGTCGTTTTAGAATGGAACGACATTTGTTCAACAAAATCATGATTGTTGTTTGCAACCATGATTCTTACTTTGTGCAAAAGAATGATGCTTTTGGTGCAAAGGGTCTCCTTCCTAAGCAAAAAATTAATGTTGCCTTACGGATGCATGCATATGGAGCATCTGCAGACCAAGTGGATGAGATAGTGAGGATGGGGAAATCAACCATTCTTGAGTCCCTGATGAGGTTATGCGGAGCAATCAAATCTATCTACACCGCATAGTACCTCCGGAAACCTACTGACATAGACTTGCAAAGGCTTCTGAAGAAGGGCGAGATGCGAGGTTTTCTTGGGATGATTGGAACCATCGACTATATGCACTGAACTTGGAAAAACTGTCCAAGTGCATGGCAAGGCGCTTATGGGGATATAAAAGAAGCAAAAAGTATCATTTTGGAGACAGTGGCACCTTTTAATACATGGATTGGCACGCATTTTTCGGGATTCCGGGAGCTCAAAATGACCTTAATGTCCTTACCAAATCCCCAGTGTTCAATGATTTCCAGCAAGGAAAGGCACCAAAAGTCACGTACTGGGTCAACAGACATAAGTACGACTGGCCATAATACCTAGCAAACGTCATTTACCCAAGGTGGTCATCGTTTGTCAAAACAGTGCCACGTCCGGGAAGTGCAAAGGAAAAACACTTTGCAAGCTGTCAAGAAGGGTGTAGGAAGGATGTGGAGTGTTGTTTTGGTATCCTCCAAGCTCAATGGGTGATTGTCAGGGGTGTTGTCAGAATGTTTGATGTAAAGTTGCTTCAATCCATCATGATGACGTGCATCATTCTTCACAACATGATTGTGGAAGATGAGTATGATTATGATGCCGTTGATGAATATGAGCCAGACATGATGAACAATTTCAGAACACAAATATATTGTGCTCATGATGCCACCGAAGAACCCGTGCAACATGAGCCATTAGAAAAGGATGAACGGTACAATGAAGGCTCATTCAACGATATATTGCACTTCAAAGGCCATATATGCACAATGCCCCGCAAATTGACTTGATAGTGGGAATTGAAACAAGCTCAAGATACTTAAGTTTATTTAGTGTGTTTATTTTTATTTGGTGTTTATTTAATTTTATTTGGTGTGTTTTTTTTTAGTTCATTTAGTGAGTTTTTTATTATTTGGTATGTTTATGTAATTTTATTTGGTGTGTTTATATCATTCGAATAAAAATTCTCTTAGTATAAATAAATTACCAAATTAAATAAATTTACTCTCACTTTAAATAAAGTACTAAATTCAATAAATTGGAAACAATATAAAGTACTATATTCAATAAATAATAAATTACGAACCAAAGTGATTGGAAAATTATGGGCTCCAATTACAAAAAAGTACTCTATTCATCATCACTTAACCAATTTGTGGTGCTAGGATGATCTTCTCTTGTCGTGCTAGGACCATCTCCTCTTGCTCTCGCTTCTCTTGCACGCCTCCTTCGCACCACGTCCACTTTCTCTGACTTCCAAAAATATTTAGAATTTGGAGACTTCCCTTCTAAAGGCGTGTTCATAATGTCACGATCTTGTTGAGCCATTCTTTTTTCTCTAACTTGTTCCCTTTCTTGCCTAAATAACTCTCTTTCTCTCTCATTAGCTTGAAATGCTCTCTCAACAGCTGCAGCTTTTGCCTCCTCTCTAGCCTTATCAGCCTCAAATTTCGCCATTTCCTGCGCCAAAGTCAATTCACCTTGGCGAGCAAGTTCTTCCATATACTTTGCATAATCATTCTTGGAAGCACTCATTTTTCTCTTTGAAGCCTTCTTACCTTGATGCCTAATTGGATAACGGGTCGACCCTGACACTTGTTCAGGGGGTGTTTCAGGCACTTCTTCTGCATCATCTTCATGAACACGCGAGCCATGCATGATCATATGTAGAGTGTAGAGGGATGCTGTTTATGAAAACTTCTAGATCGACATGCACAACTTTGAATTTAGGACAATCTTTGGACAATATTTCAACATTCCCACCGGTTGAATGATTTGTTTTTGCTTTTGGTTTTGACATTATACCAAGCTTGTGCTTGAAGTTCCTACACAATGTGGGAGAAGAAATAATTATAATGAAAGTAGGTAACAAATAAACAATACAAACAAATAATTATAACCAAAGTAGCTAACAAATAAATAATACAAACAAATAATTATAATGTAAATTTGGGTATAGTACAAACAAATAAATAATATATTGTTACCTGATCCGCTAAATTTTCCCCACTTCAAAGATTACTACTAGCTTGTGCCAAGGTGTCTCTCCACGTACTAAATGATTGGCTAAGTAATTTCCAACTACTGGACATCGATTCTTTGGTTCTTTTCCCACCAATTTTCTCAAGAATATTGGTATGAATAAGACTCCACATTTTTCGCAACTGCATCTCATTACCCGTAAGAGGATCATGAATTACTTCAACCCAGCTAGTACACAACACAACATCCTTAATAAGTGTCCAATTTGTACCTGCATCAGTAGTCATTTTGTTGGAAAAAAATTGGATTGAAACTTTGAGAGAAAGATAGGAATGTGGTTGAAAGTAGTTGAGAAAATATGAAATAGAAGTATAAGGTAGAAGATAATGAGAATGTATTTATAGAAAAGTAAAATCAAATTTTTTTTTTTTAATTTTTCAAATTTTTTTTTTTTTGGATTTTTATTAATTTTTTACATTTTTTAAAATTTTTTATTCACCTAATTAATCTCTGCGGTTAGATTAAAAAAAAATTGAATTCCAACACTTCAGATTGTGCCACATGGCACAACGGTAAGATTTCTGATTTTAAATAGTTTTTTTTTTTAATTTATAAAGGTGAATAACGTGGACCGTTGATCTCAGATCCAACAGTTGAAATTAAATAAGGTTTTAAAATTATTATTATCGTTGGACATCCAACGGTATAAAACAAATAACCGTTAAGATCCAACGGACACCGAGGCGCCACGTGGCCTCCAACGATCACTGACGAAGGCCTGCGCACGCCGGCCTCATCGGCTGATGCAAAATGTGGTTGACGTCAGGGCGACGTCAGCCATGCATCAAACCCACTTCAGGCTCTCGGGCTAGCAACTCTCCACGGGCCTCTACCTCGGGCTCGCTCGTCAGCACACGCTGGGCTTCATCACTTGGGCTCTTTGGCCCTATTCCTGCACCTGTCCTTCGGGCTGGAGCACACGGTGAAAGTGCTCTTATACTTACGACTATATATAATTACGATCAATTATTAATTTGAAATTTAAAAGTAAAAAAATAAAACATACAATTCAGATAAAATCTCTCTTAAAACTAAAATATAGTCAGAGCAACACTAACATATTTAATAAATTATATGGATTATTTTCGGGGATTATTTTCTTGAGTTATGCGACCTCAATCATAGAATACAAGCTGGATGAATGAAGTGAAAGAGTGTATCCGGTGTGTTGTGCGACTGTCGTATGCCACTAAAGCTCAAGGGAAATTTTTATAGAATGACAATAAGGCTAGCAATGCTTTATGACATGGAATGTTGGATGGTGAAGCATCAAAAGGTACACAAAATGAGTGTAGCGAAGATAAGAATGCTACGTTGGATGTGTGGGCACACGAGAAATGACAAGATTAGGAATGAGGATACACAAGGCAAATTAGGAGTAGCCGAAATTGAAGATAAGATGAGAGATAATCGGTTAAGGTGGTTTGGACATGTGAAACGAAGACTACAAACGCTCCGGTTAGAAGATGTGAATACAAGACAAAGGCCCAGGGCCAAAGGGATAGAGAAAGACCTAGGAAGACTTCGAAAGAAACTCCAAGAAAAGATTTGAACTACTTGGATCTAACAGAAATCATGACACAGAACCGAGCGCAATAGCGTTCTAAGATTCATATAGCCGACCCCACTCAGTGGGATAACGCTTTGTTGTTGTTGTTTTATTTTCTTGAGTTAGATACTTTGTATATGCTAGTAATACTCTTAGATAAAATAAGGTGAGCATCCATTGTCCTCTTGTTGTTTTGCTTACTTTTCTGGATGCTAGCTCTGGAAGAGTTGCAAAGAGATGAAAATGTTACACCCCACATCTTTCTGGACGCTTTTCTGATACCTCACCTCGATAGGCCCGTCGGCCGGCTGTTTGTTTTAGGGTGCCGGTCACGACTTGCTTCGATCGGCGCCCATTTTCATAAAACAATAGCATCACTCCTAATAGGATATGGCCTCCATATTTAACACTACCCTCATATATTTCTATCATCCAAATAGTCTTGCCACATTGTGAATCCAAAAGCTTGTACATAAACTATCAAGCCTTATTATTCATTAAACACAGAGAGGGCCTCTGTTAGCACCACATCTTAATACGGTGTTATTTCTTTCTTGATGAAGTAGAGGCCGGTAGGACCGCCGCTGGGGAGTAGGGCCAACCAGGCAACGTTTTCAGCACCTTCGTCAATGGTTAAGAAGCCGACATTGAAGGTCATATCTGTCTTGACAGATCCGGGGCAGACACAGTTGATGTAGATGTTTGGATACTTGTTGGCCAGAATTCTAGTGTACGCGTTCAAGGCTGCTTTCGAGACTGCATAGGCTGGATAGGCAGGAGGCCAGCTTTTGGTTCCTAGCAAACCTTGTTTATGGTCTTCCAAAAACTCGCTCAAAACAGCATCTATTCTCTCTTCTGTAAGGCTGTTAGCATCACTGAGTACCTCTTTAGCCCATCCATTTGGAAAATTCTGAAGCAACAGGAAAGATGGCAGAGTTTAAATTTGATTAAAAAAAGAAGAAAAATTGCATCAGCATATAACTAAATACATTAAAACATTTTTCAGAAAACAATTCTACAACTAAAACATTCCCAGAGTTCTCGTTTAGTCTGGGATTCAGTTAATGTTCTAATGCAATCGCAGAGCTCCATTATACTTAATTAAGCAAAGAAAACGACGACTAATTGTTTGTACATTTCAAGAAGCCCCATTTATGAAATAACTAGAGATAAACAGATTAAGGATAAGGAATTCTCCGTATCTTTTGTAAGGCAGATAAGTTAACTAAATTATTTTGTTTAAATTACACTAACAACTAAGCGGAAATTTAATTCTGTTAGGAGAAGGCAAAAACAGAAGCATAGTTCTGAAGTTGCTCATACCATTAGCTTAGCAGCAGCAGAAGAAACATTAATGATTCTAGGCGAATCAGATAGCTGGAGGAGGGGCAAAAGCGCGGCAGTCACGCTTTTGGGACCATAATAGTTTGTTTTAAGGCATTCTTCTGCTAACTCATAGCTTGGTGTTGTCAATATTTCACTCCAGTTGATTTCATCAGGCTTCTGCATCCAAAATCATTGCTCTCGTCAATTATAATGGCATAAAAGTCTAAAATCACCTTTCTATGATGTGATATATATACATATAATAACCTCACCTTACCAATTACAGCTGATCTAAAGCTTTCAGGGTTTATTATGCTTCCATTTATTCCTGCATTGTTTACCTACACAGTCGAAAAGTTCCAACTTTTTCATCTTTGTTATGCGTATTTCAACATAAAAAAGGATTATAAGTTTATAATATGTGTCATCAGTATCAAATCAGACATATTGCAATATTATCTCTACTGATCTGAGGAATACAACCCAACTCAAAACAAAAAGATTTACCAAGATATCGAGTTTCCCGAATTGGGTTTTGACAAAATCTGCAAGGGAAACGATGCTAGCAGAATCTGTTACATCAAGCTGATGAAAGACCACCTGGTCGGAGACGCCAAGCTCTTTCAGTTTTTCAACAGCTTCAAGACCCCTCTTTTCATCTCTAGCAGTTAACACCACCATGATCCCATTTGAAGCCAACTGCTTAACTGTGCCAAATCCAACCCCTTTGTTTGCCCCGGTCACAATTGCATACCTGACCAAGATACAAAAGAACCCAACAAAAAGAAGGGAAAATAAGAAATGGGTTTCTTTTATGTGATCAAAAGATGCATAAGAACTAAAACACTACTACCTCTTTGTTGCTTCTGCCATTGTTGCTCTGAGCTTATTTTGCCGGGTGGATACAATGAGGGGACTATAATGCCAGGGGTTTCGGTTTCAAATCATCCGTTTCTAAAAGCTAAACTCATGGGACTCACGTGGGTGCGAAATGAAGACAAATATACGTGGTTTCAGAATGGCGGCTGTATGTGGGATTATGTGGGGGAGAATGTGAGGAAGTATGTGCTGGATTAGTGGCCAAGTGGCCAAAAACCACTTTGGCTAGTCAAAGAAAAATAAACAAAGATAAAAAAGTCAAAAGAAAAATAAACAACGATAAAAAGGACATGGTGATGTTTGTTGAAAAGAAAAAAGATACAACATTGTGTCTCTTCCTTGTTTTTGGACGAAAAAAAAGGACTTGTCTAGAGTTTTTTTGCTTTGCCATTAACACCCGAAGAGTTTTGTTTTTCACTTCCACTTATTAGTCTTTGGAGCTTTTGATAGTTGTTGAGTAGCAGCAGAGAGCAGAGAGAGCAGAGTGCAGAGAGAGCAGAGAGCAGAGTGAGCAGAGTAATATCACATGACAATTTTATGATCACTAATAAAAGAAGTTTTGATGTGATGATCGAAGAATAAAAGAAGTTTTGATGTGATGACCACTTTTAAAGTTTCTAAAAGCTTTTGATAGTTGTTGATCAGCAACTTTTTACTTACATTATTTTGATGGCAACAAAGGTAGATTAGCAACCTTCTACAAACTTTGTTCCTTGCATAACATTGACAATAGTAATATCACATGACAATTTTATGATCACAAAAATTTCTGCTAGGCCTGCCCAAACCGTCACAACCTTTGAAAAGAACAATTGACAAAAACCTGTTTAGATTCGAGATAAAACTTCATTGACATTCGTATGATAATCTGCCATTCATCTAGTGCATTCTTGCCAAAAAAAATAAAATGAAAAGCATTGAGTTGCTTTCCTTCCGAATTAAGTTTACCTACCACGGGAGAGGTTGAACCAACTATCATCTAGATCCCGAGCACATGCCAAAGTTCTCATTCAAAGCTGAAGGCATACCACTGATTGACTCGAGACCCACCTCGGGGTAACATTTTTGACCACTGAGAATGTTGAATTCTCTGATCTGCCTTTAGATGAGAAAGGAAGATTTCGGGGGACGAGCATATCAAGAATGTGAGAGACTGGATAAAGGGGTTTGAATTCACAGTGGAACAAAACAAAACTCCACATACAGATAATACTACATCCAAAATAAACTTTTGCAGAAACTATGCATAAACTTTCTCAAAGATACAGTGTCCGGCTGCAATACTACTCAGAAGACATAATCCATTGAAAATTATTCTGGAAGGGAGCAAAATTTACCTTAACACCGCCGTAAGCAAATCTGCATTGGGGAGAATTTTTGTTGGAAAAACTGAATCTGCGCTCTCGGGCTGGCGACTCTCCACTGGCCTCTCCCTCGGGCTTGCTTGCTAGCACACGCTGGACTTCATCACTCGGGCTCTTTGGACGTATTCCTGCCCCTATCCCTCAGGCTGGAGCACACGGTGAAAGTGCTCTTATACTTACGAATAGATATAAATATGATCAATTATTAGTTTGAAATTTAGAAGTAAAAAATAAAACATTTAATTCAGATAAAATCTCTCCTAAAACTAAAATATAGTCGGAGCAACGCTAACATATTTAATATATTATATGGATTATTTTCGGGGATTATTTTCTTGAGTTATGCGACCTCAATCATAGAATACAAGCTGGATGAATGAAGTAGAAGAGTGTATCGGGTGTGTTGTGCGACTATCGTAGGCCACTAAAGCTCAAGGGAAATTTTTATAGGATGACAACAAGGCCGGCAATGCTTTATGACACAGAATGTTGGGCAGTGAAGCATCAACATGTACACAAAATGAGTGTAGCGGAGATGAGAATGCTTCGTTGGATGTGTGGGCACATGAGAAATGATAAGATTAGGAATGAGGATACACGAGGCAAATTAGGAGTAGCCAAAATTGAAGATAAGATGAGAGAGAATCGGTTAAGGTGGTTTGGACATGTGAAATGAAGACTACAAACGCTCCGGTTAGAAGATGCGAGTACGAGACAAAGGCCTAGGGCCAAAGGGATAGAGGAAGACCTAGGAAGACTTGGAAAGAAACTGCAAGAAAAGATTTGAACTACTTGGATCTAACAGAAATCATGACACAGAACCGAGCGCAATGGCGTTCTAAGATTCATATAGCCGACCCCACTTAGTGGAATAACGCTTTGTTGTTGTTGTATTATTTTCTTGAGTTAGATATTTTGTATATGCTAGTAATACTGTCAGCTAAAATAAGGTGAGCATCCATTGTCCTCTTGTTATTTTGCTTACCTTTCTGGATGCTAGCTCTGGAAGAGTTGCATAAGAGATGAAATGTCACACCTCACATCTTTCTGGACGCTTTTCTGATACCTCACCTCTATAGGCCCGTCGGCCGGCTGTTTGTTTTAGGGTGCCGGTCACGACTTGCTTCGATCGGCGCCCATTTTCATAAAAAAATAGCATCACTCCTAACAGGATATGGCCACCATATTTAACACTACCCTCATATATTTCAATCATCCAAATAGTCTTGCCACACTGTGAATCCAAAAGCTTGTACATAAACTATCAAGCCTTATTATTCATTAAACACAGAGAGGGCCTCTTTTAGCACCACATCTTAATACGGTGTTATTTCTTTCTTGATGAAGTAGAGGCCGGTAGGACCGCCGCTGGGGAGTAGGGCCAACCAGGCAACGTTTTCAGCACCTTCGTCAATGGTTAAGAAGCCGGCATTGAAGGTCATATCTGTCTTGACAAATCCGGGGGAGACACAGTTGATGTAGATGTTTGGATACTTGTTGGCCAGAATTCTAGTGTACGCGTTCAAGGCTGCTTTCGAGACTGCATAGGCTGGAGAGGTAGGAGGCCAGCTTTTGGTTCCTAGCAAACCTTGTTTATGGTCTTCCAAAAACTCGCTCAAAACAGCATCTATTCTCTCTTCTGTAAGGCTGTTAGCATCACTGAGTACCTCTTTAGCCCATCCATTTGGAAAATTCTGAAGCAACACGAAAGATGGCAGAGTTTAAATTTGATTAAAAAAAACAGAAAAATTGCATCAGTATATGACTAAAAACATGGATTGCTCACGACTTCAAACATTTTTTGGAAAACAATTCTACGACTAAAACATTTCCAGAGATCTCGTTTAGTCTGGGATTCAGTTAATGTTCTAATGCAATCCCAGAGCTCCATTATATTTAATTAAGCAAAGAAAACGACGACTAATTGTTTGCACATTTCAAGAAGCCCCATTTATGAAATAACTAGAGATAAACAGATTAAGGATAAAGAATTCTTCGTATCTATTGTAAGGCAGATAAGTTAACTAAATTATTTTGTTTAAATTACACTAACAACTAAGCGGAAATTTAATTCTGTTAGGAGAATGCAAAAACAGAAGCATAGTTCTGAAGTTGCTCATACCATTAGATTAGCAGCAGCAGAAGAAACATTAACGATTCTAGGCGAATCAGATAGCTGGAGGAAGGGCAAAAGAGCCGCAGTCACGCTTTTGGGACCATAATAGTTTGTTTTAAGGCATTCTTCTGCTAACTCATAGCTTGGTGTTATCAATATTTCACTCCAATTGATTTCATCAGGCTTCTGCATCCAAAATCATTGCTCTCGTCAATTATAATGGCATAAAAGTCTAAAATTGTTAGTGCAGATGAATTCAAGAGTTTTGATTCTGGAGAAAAAAAGAGCTTGACGAAGAGCAAAAACAAAGGAACACAGTGGAAGATGAATGGTTTCTTTTTCTTTCTCTGTCTCAGGAAATTTCAGAGGAATATTTTCTGTGTATATCATAAAAGAGCACGAAGCACATGCTTTTTACATAACTGATGGCCTTAAACTTGGGACCACACATACACAACATTTCATCTTAGTCACTCATCTACCTAATTACATGGATCAAACAACACATGGCACTCATGGCCTTTTTCACATAAGAACTTCACACTTGACATCTGTTAGCACAAGTGAATTCACATTTAAACTCATCTTATTTCTAATACTCAATCAGCTAGAGACTTATAATTCAACAAAAATCACCTTTCTATGATGTGATATATATACATATATATAACCTCACCTTACCAATTACAGCTGATCTAAAGCTTTCAGGGTTTACTATGCTTCCATTCATTCCTGCATTGTTTACCTACACAGTCGAAAAGTTCCAACATTTTCATCTTTTTTATGCGTATTTTAACATAAAAAAGGATTATAAGTTTATAACATGTGTCATCAGTATCAAATCAGACATATTGCAATATTATCTCTACTGATCTGAGGAATACAACCCAACTCAAAACAAAAAGATTTACCAAGATATCGAGTTTCCCGAATTGGGTTTTGACAAAATCTGCAAGGGAAACGATGCTAGCAGAATCTGTTACATCAAGCTGATGAAAAACCACCTGGTCGGAGACGCCAAGCTCTTTCAATTTTTCAACAGCTTCAAGACCCCTCTTTTCATCTCTAGCAGTTAACACCACCATGATCCCATTTGAAGCCAACTGCTTAACTGTGCCAAATCCAACCCCTTTGTTTGCCCCTGTCACAATTGCATACCTGACCAAAATACAAAAGAAGCCAACAAAAAGAAGGGAAAATAAGAAATGGGTTTCTTTTATGTGATCAAAAGATGCATAAGAACTAAAACACTACTACCTCTTTGTTGCTTCTGCCATTGTTGCTCTGAGCTTATTTTGCCGGGTGGATACAATGAGGGGACTATAATGCCAGGGGTTCCCGTTTCAAATCATCCGTTTCTAAAAGCTAAACTCATGGGACCCACGTGGGTGCGAAATGAAGACAAATATACGTGGTTTCATAATGGCGGCTGTATGTGGGATTATGTGGCGAAGAATGTGAGGAAGTATGTGCTGGATTAGTGGCCAAGTGGCCAAAAACCAATTTTGGCTAGTCAAAGAAAAACAAAGATAAAAAAGTCAAAGACAAATAAACAAGAGGTTTTTTGCTTTGCCAAACACCCGAAGAGTTTTGATTTTCACTTCCACTTGTTAGTCTTTGGAGCTTTTGGTTTTTTGCTTTGCCATTAACACCCGAAGAGTTTTGTTTTTCACTTCCACTTGTTAGCCTTTGGAGCTTTTGATAGTTGTTGAGTAGCAGCAGAGAGCAGATAGAGCAGAGAGAGCCGAGTGCCGAGAGAGCAGAGAGAGCAGAGAGTAGAGAGCAGTCGAAGAAAAGGGAAAATTTTCAGCTCTTCATTTTGTATAATCATTCAATCAAAGATATTGTGCTATATTTTGTGGCTTTTGGGAGAGAAGGATTTAGGATGTATTAGTACAAGTACCTGCACATTGCTGTGGGTTTGTAAAGCGTACAAAATATGTTAAAAGTTCTATACACACGTACAACCAAATTAGGGATTCAATTATGGATTCGTATTCCTGTTTACAGTTATATTTGCGCACACACACTAATTAGCACTTTTAAATTCTTCAATCATCACTTTTGAACTTCTTTTATATTTTACAATATATACATGCTTCTTGGTTACAATGTGAAAAAACAAAAGCTGCTAATGTAAATTGTTAAAATAATTAAGTATTATCGTAGTTCTCAAATCCATTTAATAGGATACATTAAAAAAAATTTGCTAGCTACCTATTATCGTTGATCAGCAACTTTTTACATACATTATTTTGGTGGCAGCAAAGGTAGATCAACAACCTTCTACAAACTTTATTCCTTACATAACATTGACAATAGTAATATCACATGACAATTTTATGATCACAAAAATTTCTGCAAGGCCAGCCCAAACTGTCACAACCTTGGAAAATAACACTTGACAAAAACCCGTTTAGATTCAAGATAAAACTTCATTGACACTCATATGATAAATCCTGCCATTCATGTAGTAGCATTCTTGCCAAAAAAAAAAAAAATGAAAAGCATTGAGTTGCTTTCCTTCCAAATTAAGTTTACCTACCACGGGAGAGGTTGAACCAACCTCTCATCCAAAGCTGAAGGCGTACCACTGATTGACTCGAGAACCACCTCGGGTAACATTTTTGACCACTGAGAATGTTGAATTCTCTGATCTGCCTTTCGATGAGAAAGGAAGATTTCGGGGGATGAGCATATCAGAATGTGAGAGACTGGATAAAGGGGTTTGATTTCACAGTGGAAAAAAACGAAACTCCACATACAGATAATACTACATCCAAAATAAACTTTTGCGGAAACTATACATAAACTTTCTCAAAGATACAATGTCCGGCTTCAATACTACTCAGAAGACATAATTCATAGAAAATTGTTCTGGAAGGGAGCAAATTTACCTTAACACCGCCGTAGGCAAATCTGCATTGGGGAGAATTTTTGTTGAAAAACTGAATGGAAAATCAAGAGTTTCAAATTCAAACAGGAGCATTATTTAAAACCCGAAATTGAATCATCACAAAGGGAATTCAGTGCAACCATCATCAAACCTGTTGCTCTTTCTAATCAACTACAGCTCCATTCTCATTTTTCGTTGAGTTCCGAACACTCTGTGTGCCATTGATTCGGATTGCCTCATTTCCCTTGGTATTTCTGCTAAACTTACTGGGAACGTCTTCTGTCTGCATTTCCCTAACCAAACACAATCACAAATTAGTCAATTATAATAAAAAACGTAAAAATGGCGCCACATAGTGGATTTATAGAGGGTTTATAAAATAACAAAGGCATGTGATTTAATAGTTTATGACAAAATAAATCATACATCGTTTTGAATAGTTCCTATTCAAAAAATAGAGACTTACTGATGAGTCAATTGCCAATTTTCTGAAGAAATCGTATGCTTTTTATGAGTGTATCACAACTTTCAAAAAATACGTGAAAATCAGTAAATTTGTAAATTAAAACAAAAAAAGAAAACCTCAAAAGAAAAAAAAAAACTAATTAGCATTGAAGTTACTGAAAGCACCAGAAATTACAAAAAAAGAAAAAAAAAAGAAGAGAGAATCCACACTAAACAAAAAAGAAAGGAGAACTTACCCTCAAATATGGACTGTATAATTGTTGGAAAATCAAATAAAAACAGGTTGTTAATGTTTAAAACAAGCTGTCAGTTTCTTTCCAGGGTGTTTTTCAGCAACTACAAAGATCATTGCTTCCTCCATGTGTTAGCCGAAAGGAGATTGAAAGACAGCAGAGATGTGAGCTGCTACAACCTGCCATGATGCAATGCATGTGTATGCCAACTATCAAAGTTGCTGCATGTGTTTGAAAGGGTGTAAAGATGTGGAACACCATCATTCATTATATGTATTGTTGGATTGTTTATTTTTTCAGTTTTGTATAAATAGGCCATCTTGCTAAGCCTTAGTGCATCCCATCCAAATCCCATTTCCCATTCATTTAATTTCAGCTTGTAAGCTATTGAGTTTGTAAACTCTCTTTTCATATATCTAAGTGCAAGTGTTTTACCAAAGCTTGTTGCTTCCCTTCTTTCTCTATTTCTCTATTTCTCTATTTCTTTCTTTGTCCAATTTTATTGAGAGTGAAAGTGAGAGGTGTGATAGAGTTTGTAAACTTATCACCCACATATTTTGGTATTGAGTTAGCAAGCTCTTGTGAATACCAACAATTGGTATCAGAGCCAGAATACCATTCTGGCAAGTGTAGTAGCTATGGCGTCCAATTTAGTGCAACTCCAGGTTCCCACATTGAAGAAAGAAAATTATGAAAGATGGTGCATCCAATTCAAAGCATTGTTTGGATCACAGGAGCTATGGGAAGTTGTCAGTAGTGGGTATGTTGTACCCACTGCCGAGCAAGAAGCTGCATATACTGCAGAACAAAGGAACACTCTCAAGGACTTACGAAAGAAGGACCAGAAGGCACTGTATCTTCTATACCAAGGTCTAGAAGATTCAACGTTCGAGAAGGTTGCAGAAGCAACAACGAGCAAGCAAGTATGGGACACACTCAGTACAATCTACAAAGGAGTAGATCGGGTCAAGAAAGTGAGATTACAGTCACTTCGAGCAGATTTTGAAACTGCTCACATGAATGAAGGAGAGAGCATCTCCGATTATCACTCAAGGCTCATTGTGATAGTAAATCAGATGAAGAGAAATGACGAGAGACTCGATGAAGTACGAGTTGTGGAGAAGATACTCCGGTCACTCACATCTAAGTTTGAGCATGTGGTGACTGCCATTGAGGAATCCAAGGATTTGGAGGTGATGAGCGCAGAGGAGCTACTAGGATCCCTCCTAGTTCACGAGCAACGCATTCAGAAGAATGCAAGCCCCACAACGCTAGAGCAAGCTTTGGAGTCAAAGTTGAATATTGACAAACCAAATAAAGGTCGTGGGCAGTGGAACTCACGTCGTGGGAGTTAATCTAACCGTAGCCGAGGACGAGCTCGAGGAAGAGGTCGAGGCTATGCACAAAATCGAGGTCAGTCTCAAGAGTGGAGATCTACTCGAGGAAAGACGCATATCCAATGTCACAATTGCAAGCAATATGGACATTATGCCAATGAATGTTCACATAAAAATGGTGAGCATGTCAACATGGCAGAATCAAGTGGAAATACTGATGAAGAACTTACAGTCTTGCTAGCACACCATGATTCCAGTAACCAACAAGATGTTTGGTATTTGGACTCTGGTGCAAGCAATCACATGTGTGGAAAGAAGGAGTTTTTTGCCGAACTAAAAGATGGGGCCTATGGATCTGTAAGTCTTGGTGACTCCTCAAAGTTGCCAGTTGAAGGCAAAGGGAAGATCAAGATCATCCAGAAGGATGGTAAAGAAGAATACATCTCCGATACCTACTACATACCAGGTATGAAGAGCAACATTCTAAGCATTGGTCAACTGCTCCAGAAAGGGTACATTATACATATGGAGAATATGTTTCTCACTCTCAGGAATGCAAGGAGAAAACTTATTGCACGTGGTCAAATGTCAAAGAACCGAATGTTCCCATTGAATTTGAACACAAAGATTGGGAGTTGCAACATCGGTGTGATGGAAGATAAGTCATGGAAATGGCATATTCGATTTGGCCATCTTCATTTCAATGGCCTAAAGTTGTTGTCAAGTGGAGGAATGGTTCGTGGTTTACCCCAGATTGAAGCCACACGCCAAGTATGTGAAGGTTGTGTGCTTGCCAAGCAAGCACGACTATCGTTCCCTGTTGGTGATACATAGAGAGCAAAGGCACCACTGCAGTTGGTGCACACAGATATATGTGGTCCATTGGATCCCATGTCTTATGGAGGTAATAGGTATTTTATTACTTTCATTGATGATTTTAGTAGGAAGACTTGGGTTTACTTTCTCAAGGAGAAGTCGGCTGCCCTAAGAATCTTCAAGGAGTTCAAGGCACTCACAGAGGCTGAAAGCAACCACAAGCTTGTGGCTGTGAGATCAGATAGAGGTGGAGAGTACACCTCCAATGCTTTCCAAGCATACTGCAAGGAGCAAGGAATTAGGCATCAACTTACTACTGCCTATACCCCACAGCAAAATGGGATAGCCGAAAGAAAGAATCGAACCATCCTTGACATGACAAGGTCCATGCTTAAGGAGAAGAATTTGCCAAAAGAGTTATGGGCAGAAGTTGTAGCTTGTTCGATTTATTTGTTGAATCGATGTCCAACAAAGAGTGTCAAGAGGATGACACCACCAGAGGCTTGGAGTGGATACAAGCCGAATGTTACACACCTAAGAATTTTTGGGTGTGTTGCATATGCTCAAGTTCCAGAAGCCAAGAGGAGGAAACTTGATGATAGAGGTGAGAAGTGTGTGTTTGTGGGCTATAGTGAAGAGTCCAAGGCGTACAAGCTCTACAACCCACTAACTGGCAAACTAGTGGTTAGTAGAGATGTCATCTTCAGTGAGGAAGAGGCATAGATGTGGAACAACAAAGAAGTCAGTAAAGAGAAGATCGTCTCCACTGATTTTGAAGAACCAGAAGTTGTACCACCTGTTGAGCAACAACCTGCTCAAACAATCATAACAACTCCAGTGCACAAAATTGCAAGGAGTGGTCCTACATCTAGTGAGGAAAGTAGCTCCTCAACTCCAGTGAGGTTAAGAAGTCTCACAGAGATTTATGGACAAGAAGAAGAAGAAACCAATTTTTTCTGCTTCTATGCAGACCATGAGCCTCTCTCATTCAATGAAGCTGTGGAAGAAAATTGTTGGAAAAAAGTCATGGAAGAAGAGATCCATGCCATCGAGAAGAATGACACTTAGGAGTTGACAAAGCTCCCACCAAATCAGAAAGCTATTGGTGTCAAGTGGGTTTACAAGATCAAACGCACTGCAGATGGGAGTGTGGATCGATACAAATCAAGGCTTGTAGCAAAGGGCTACAAACAGAAGTATGGAGTGGACTATGATGAAGTCTATGCTCCAGTTGCAAGACTTGACACGGTAAGATTGCTAATCTCTCTTGCCGCTCATCATAAATGGAAAATTTATCAATTAGATGTCAAGTCAGCCTTCCTTAATGGAGTTCTTGAGGAAGAAGTGTACGTGGAACAACCAGAAGGCTTCCAAGTACAGGGAAAAGAAGATAAGGTGTATCGTTTGAAGAAGGCTTTGTATGGCCTCAAGCAAGCACCACGAGCTTGGAACTCAAGGATTGACAACTACCTTCATCCAAATGGATTTCAGAAATGTCCATACGAGCATTCAGTTTACATGAAGAATGGTGCAAAATGGGAGTTCTTAATTATTTGTCTCTATGTAGATGACTTGTTGTTTACAGGAAACAATGAAGCAATGTTCTGTGAGTTCAAGCAATCCATGTTCAGTGAATTCGAGATGACTGACAATGGATTAATGTCATACTTTCTTGGCATAGAAGTGAAGCAAGGAAGTGATGGTATCTACATTTCTCAACAAAAGTACATGAGAGATATATTGGAGAAATTCAATATGGACAAGTGCCATATTGTCAACACTCCAGTTGCAACTGGATTGAAGCTGTCTAAGGAAGGAGAAGGTGAGTTTGTAAACTCAACCGTGTACAAAAGCTTGGTTGGAAGCCTAAGGTACCTTACAATCACAAGACTTGATATAGTTTATGGTGTTGGACTCGTGAGTCGATACATGGAAACACCAAGGGAGTCTCATTAGCTGGCCGCCAAGAGAATTTTGAGGTACATAAGAGGTACTCTAAAATATGGTCTGTTTTATAATTTTGGTGAAGATGCAAAATTATTTGGTTATTGAGATAGTGATTGGGGAGGTGACCAAGATGAAAGCAAAAGCACAACTGGCTATGTGTTTTTTCTAGGATCAACAGCTTTCTCATGGACTTCAAAGAAGCAATCAATTGTTGCTTTGTCATTGTGTGAAGCCGAGTATGTTGTTGTAGCCTCAACCGTGTGTGAGGCAATTTGGTTAAGAAATATGTTGAAGTCAGTGTGTCATCCACAAGTGGAATCGACTGTGATTCATGTGGATAACATCTCAGCTATCAAGCCTGCTAGGAATCCAGTCCAACATGGAAGGAGTAAGCACATCGATACCAGGTTCCATTTTTTGAGGGATCATGTGAAGCAAAAGACAATTGAGCTTGTCTATTGTCACACGAAGGAACAAGTGGCAGACATCTTCACAAAGCCACTGCCAGTTGAGCCATTCAAGTTGCTACGTGAAATGCTAGGGATAAAGGCGTTTTAATTTGAGGAGGTGTGTTGGAAAATCAAATAAAAACAGGTTGTTAATGGTTAAAACAAGCTGTCAGTTTCTTTCTAGGGTGTTTTTCAGCAACTACAAAGATCATTGCTTCCTCCATGTGTTAGCCGAAAGGAGATTGAAAGACAGCAGAGATGTGAGCTGCTGTGTGCAAGCCGAAAGGTGGTTATTACAACCTGCCATGATGCAATGCATGTGTATGCCAACTATCAAAGTTGTTGCATGTGTTTGAAAGGGTGTAAAGATGTGGAACACCATCATTCATTATATGTATTGTTGGATTGTTTATTTTTTCAGTTTTGTATAAATAGGCCATCTTGCTAAGCCTTAGTGCATCCCATCCAAATCCCATTTCCCATTCATTTAATTTCAGCTTGTAAGCTATTGAGTTTGTAAACTCTCTTTTCATATATCTAAGTGCAAGTGTTTTACCAAAGCTTGTTGCTTCCCTTCTTTCTCTATTTCTCTATTTCTCTATTTCTTTCTTTGTCCAATTTTATTGAGAGTGAAAGTGAGAGGTGTGATAGAGTTTGTAAACTTATCACCCACATATTTTGGTATTGAGTTAGCAAGCTCTTGTGAATACCAACAATATTGATGTCCAGTATCCAAGTTGTGAGTTTTCATGCTATTTTGAATATAACTCGCACTTACCAAGACCAATAGATCATGCTACACCGACAGCCAGCCATCAGAGTCCAAATTGCAGATAACGAATAAGCTACTGTATATGCTGCATTTTGATTAATTATAAAATCAATAAAGAAAACTCCACAAGTACATCAACATTATGCAAGAAACATGCCCGATAATGCATACATGATGCAACATTCATGGGAAATCTTTATCCCAACAACTCATACAAAGAATATTAAGCAAACCATATTAATCAAATAACGGTTACTCTAACTAAAATTCTAAATGCAACTGAACAAAAATGTCTCCCTGCGAGTAAATACCTCTTGTTGAGGTCCACCAACTGTCGCAGTTATCACTCCTATACCTCCTGCTAACATAATTAGAAGCAGAAAGCAACCACCTCTCGCCATAAAACACCCAACATATTGGCCAATAGCCAAATTCAAATACTTTAATGTCTTTAACGGCTGTGTTAATTTTTCTAGTTCCTGGTGATGCTTCAAACGGAGTCCTGCAGAATTCAAAGATTACAAACAACCTTCAGATTTTCAATCTGAATTTTGAAAAAATTAAACTACTTTCCTCAATTGGAATTTAATTAAACATTTAAAGAGTTAAAATAATCAAACTTTTTGTTTTTATTTACCTACCCATAAAAGTTTGATTTCCATTTTATTTAAAAACGTACAAAAGACTACTGTGGGATCTTTAAAAGCAATTTAGCTCACATGGAAGGACTGAAACGAAAGTTGAATTATGATAGGTTGTTTGTAGTTCCGAGTCATGGCAGGGGAGGAGGTCTTTGTGTGTTTTGGAAGGATGAGGCTAACTTGCAATTGAGGTCCTACTCACAAAATCACATAGACATGGAGGTGAGGGTTGTTGGTGAGGCAGTTCAGTGGCGTTTTACTTTTTTCTACGGATTTCCTGCGGTCAGGGATCGTCATAAGTCATGGCAATTACTAGATACGATTGGAGGGACTGTTACAGGACCTTGGTTGTGTATTGGAGATTTCAACGAGATTCTACAATCAAATGAACAGGAAGGAGGCAATATGAGGCGAGAGTTCAAATGGAAGGCTTCAGGAGTGTGTTAGACCGTTGGCGTCTCCATGATCTTGGCTATCAGGGATGCAAGTACACATGGTCAACGATGCGTGATGGTGGCATCAAAGTTCGGTTGGACCGTGCGGTGGCTTCGCAAGCTTGGATGGATCAATTCCCTAGATTCAAAGTTCATCATTTGAAGAAAACAACTTCTGATCATATCCTCATTTTTATCTATTGGGAGGGCCGAGTGGCATCCAAACGAAAGAGAACCTTTAGATACGAAGAAGCATGGAATAATTTGGATGGTTGCAAACCAGTGGTGGAGGAGGGGTGGGCTCATGAGGCTGATGGGGTCCCTTTATTCCAAGTAACGGATAAGATCAAATCAACTAGAAGGAAGTTGTCGCAGTGGGCAAGACAAAATTCACGTCACGGTCCGAAAGAGATAGGAGAGATTGAAAATAAATTAACTAGCATTCTTGGTCAGCCTTTCACCGACACTTCTATTAATGAGAAGAAGGTGCTTCTATCTAAGTTGAATGGGTTGTTAGAACAAGAAGAGTGTTTCTGGCGACAGAGGTCTAAAGAAAACTAGTTAAAGCTCGAAGATCGCCAAACGCGGTATTTTCATCAAAAGGCTTCTCGCCGTCAAAGGAAAAATTGGATACTAGGCCTAATGGATGAGAATGGGGATTGGCATGATAATAAACCGGGAATGGAAAAGGTAGTGGTTGATTACTTCTCGAAGCTTTTTGATTCGAATGGTGGAGAGAATTTTGGGGAGATTCTAGCAGATGTTGCCCCAGTAGTAACTGAAGAAATGAATGCTGAGTTGACAAGGAGTGTTGATGATGAGGAAATAAAAGATGCAGTCTTCCAAATGCATCCTACGAAGGCACCTGGGCCTGACAGCATGTCTCCGGGGTTTTACCAAAAGCATTGGGAGATAGTTGGAACGGATGTGTGCGATGGAATTCGATCTATGATTCAGTCAGGACGCATGCTTTGTAAGATTAACTATACCCATGTAACGTTAATTCCCAAAGTAAAAGACCCAACTGAGATAAAACATCTTCGTCCCATTAGCCTTTGCAACGTCCTGTACGGGATCATCGCCAAGGTTCTTACAAATCGTTTGAAGAGTATTCTTCCGCGCATAATATCCCCGAATCAAAGTGCTTTCATTCCTGGAAGACTTATCTCGGATAATAGCCTTGTGGCTGCAGAAATTGCCCATTAAATGCATAAGAAAACATCTGGGTGGAATGGTGTTATGACATTAAAGTTGGATATTAGTAAGGCTTATGATCGTTTGGAGTGGAATTATTTGGAAGCTATTATGCGGAGGATGGGGTTCTCTGAGGTTTGGATTGGTTTGATAGTGGTTTGTATTAGTACGGTTACATATTTGTTCAAAGTCAATGGTGATCCAGTGGGTTTTGTACGTCCAAAGCGGGGTATTCGACAAGGAGATCCATTGTCCCCATACTTATTTGTTATTTGTGCTGAGGGTTTGTCTAGTTTATTACGTAGAAGTGAAGCTCTGGACCAATTGCATGGGATCAAAATTTGCAAGGAGGCTCCAAGTATCCATCATCTTTTGTTTGCTGACGATAGTTTTTTGTTTGCTCGGGGAAGTTTGGAGGAGTGTGTGCAGATTAGGTAATTGCTATGAGCATACGAAGTGGCGTCGGGTCAAGCGGTGAACTTCGAAAAAAGTTGTGTAGCTTTCAGCACTAATCTTACGGAGGTCAATCAACAAGTGTTGGCGGATTGTTTGGGTGTACAACGTGTGTCTCATCATGATAAGTACCTGGGACTTCCAGTTTTCGTCAGGAAATCGAAAATACAAACATTTGCATATGTCAAGGATAGAATTTGGAAAAAGCTCCATGGGTGACGGGGGGATTTATTAAGCACTACTAGGAGAGAACTATGAATTAAGACTGTGGCTCAATCCTTACCAATGTATTCGATTCAATGCTTCCTATTACCCAAAACATTTTGTGCCGATCTGAATATGTTGCTTGCTAAGTTTTGGTGGAATGGGGAACCTGGCAAGAAAAAGATACATTGGATTGATTAGCCAACGTTGTGTAAACCAAAGTGGGATGGTGGGCTGGGGTTTAGGGACCTCTATATTTTTAATCTAGCTTTGTTAGGTAAGGAGGCGTGGAGGCTGAAGGAAGATTTGTGAAAAACATGTTCATTTAAACAACATCAATAGCATGCAATTAACAATTAAAGGCGGAATCATGCTTGTATGCACTTAAAACAAAACATTTACCCATGAAATTCAAAGCCTAGTAGATAGGTGAACCAAGACTCAACTCAAAACAAAGTGAGTTGAGAAATCAATACCTTTGTAGATTCCTCTTTGCATAAGCAAAGGCTAATCACCCAAAGAGAGGGCCTTCATTCCTTGCATCTTAGATCCATGGATTTGGATGGATGAAAAGGTTTCTCCAAGTTCCCAAAATTGAGAACCTCTAATGATTCATCACCAAGGCATAATGAAGAAGAAATGAGTGACCTTGGAGGAGTTTGATTGCTAGATGATCCCTCCAAGGTGGCCTAAATTTTAGAGAGAAAGGAGAGCTTGTGTTCTCATCATTTCTCCAAAAATTACCATATGTAAATTTTAGGCTATAAAGTCCTTTATATAGTCCCTTCAAATAAGTGACCTAATGGACCAAAAGCCCTATTCTTCTAACATGGCAAGCCTATAGGGTTTATTGGGCTTTCAAGCCCTTTGTTTATTCAAGTTGTCATACAACTTGAGTTAATGGGCTTGACATTCAAATCCCATTGGGCCTTGCGGCCCAAAACTAACCCGAGGTCTTTAACGAACTTATTCGTTTGATTAATTAACATATTAATTAATCCTAGCCTTAGATAAATAATTAAACCATTTAATTATTCTTACTCATCTCCGTTGTTTCTTCAAACTCTACCTTACTCGGTGAACGATCCATTAGGTTCCTTTTAGCGAGGCAGTGGGCGATTAAAACTCTTTCTAATCGATTGTGAATTGAAACTTACTTTCAATTCTCCCGTTAGTGATAATACACTTTTAGGGCTTCCACAAACCATGGTTGACGCCTAGCAGCATGTCATGGTTACCCAAGCTAATCAGAAGAGGTGGAGAACCTATTCAGTTTTAGGATTACAAATGCAATACGGTATTTCTCTAATACAATACTCTTGACCACATTGTTTGGTTTGATAGTTTATTCATGTCTACTATCCAATGTGAGTCTTGTGCTTATATGATTACCTTGAATGTGATTTGGAACACATTCCTAAATCTCATTCATACTTTGGCCAAAGATTCTTAATCATATCATAGAGTATTCTCCCTCAAACAGTTTGAAGGTTAGAGATCCCTTGTTGCGCATTCACTTGCCTCCATGGCTAAGTGGCTTAACCCCAACGATGCCATGGACACCCTCCTGATGGAGTGACTTTGACATAATCAAAGATTAAGGACCTAACCACAAGACAACTGTGATGCCTCAGGTCAAAAGACTAATTTGCATTATCCCAACCATGAGTTCTCATGTGACATGAATATGAGAACTCTTCGTTGATCGTGTTCAGTGAACTCATTCTCTATTGAGCACCTACGTACTTGTCTTGATGTCACACACACCAATGACTCGAGACTAGTCACTCTCCCTGAGAGAAGACATAGCACGTACTGATCTTAACGGACTGTCAATGCCCAATTGACAATCCTATGATCAGGAACGTTTAGGATGTGTCAACGAAAGAATGGTCTCATGAATCTAACTTCTTTAGATTGCATTCTTCCAATCACATATTCCTTGAACTTATCGTTTAAGCATATAACATTTATATGAGACGGCTCAAACAATAATCTTTGCCCTTTACATTTAAACTACATTAGTTTGAAATGTCCGTAAAGTATCATCATATGATTGGTTTTAGGGCACATTTCCAACAGAGGCTTGTGAGAAGCCCCGATTCATTGGCTTGCCAATTACTTAAGGCTCGTTATTTCTTGAAATGCAAGTTTTTGAAAGCGACGTGTAACAAAAATTCCTCCTATTGTTGGCGAAGCATTTTGGCTGCAAGGAATGCTTTAACGAAAGGCTTGAGGTAACAAGTGGGTTCGGGGTCTACTGTTAGAATTTGGAAGGATGATTGGATCCCTAGTGAATCTTTTTTCGAGGTGGTTACTCCGCCTTCTTTGCCATGGACTAGAGAGACAACAGTGGATAGGTTGATTTTGAATGGTGTAGGTGTATGGAATATGTCGCTTCTTAGACAGTTATTTTCTGAGGAGGAGGTGGATTTTATACAATGAATTCCACTTAGTTCACGATCCTTAGTAGATCGTTTAATTTGGCATTATGAAAAGAATGGATAGTTCTCTGTAAGGAGTGCTTATCAGTTGGCTTGTAAGGAATTGAAATGGAGTTGTTTTGGAGTAAGTGGTTCAGGTCCAAGGACACTAACTGTTGAGGAACTTCATTAAAATCTTGGGTACCGTTGCTAAATATATCAGACGGGCAAGATGAGAATCCTTTTGGAAGCAACTCTAGGGTTGCAAGAACTACAGTGCAAAATGCAATGTTCGAAGTGGAAAAGTTTGATGGCACAAATAACTTTGAGATGTGGTAATGTGAAGTCAAGGATGCGTTGGCTCAACAAGATCTACTTGTTGTTTTGGGAGATAAACTGGAAGTTATGTCGAAGCTGGAATGAGAGAAATTAAACTTGTAAACTTGCCCTACAATTCAGTTAAGCCTTCCAAAAACTCAGAAGTATTTTGTGATGCGGGAAACATTGGCAAATGTGTTGGGGCAAAAATTAGAAGGCAAGTACATGACGAAGAGTGTGGAAAACCAGCTACACTTGAAGAAAAAGATTTACCGCTTCCAATACAAAGAAGGTACAAAAATGATTAATTAGACACCTTGATGCTTTTAATAAGTTCATTGCCAATTTGATGAATTTAGATGAGGATATTAAGGATGAAGATAAGGCCTTAATATTGTTGAATTCCTTGCTGGACTCTTATGAGCATTTTGTTACCGCTATTATGCATGGTAAAGAAATTGAGAAATTTGATGATGTATCAAATGCCTTGATGAACTATGAAATGTGGCATAGAGATAAGAATCATGATAGTACCTTTGAAACTTTATTTGTTAGAGGTGAATCATCGGAGAGGAGATCCTCCTCTATTAGAAAAAAAAAATCACACTCTTGACCTAGAGGAAATTCTAAAGGTAGAAAAAGCTTGGAAATGGATGAATGTGCTTTGTGTCATAATAAAGGCCATTGGAAGAAAGATTGTCCTAAGTTGAAGACCAAAGACAAAGTTTGGAAGTTAATGTTGCTGAGCTTGAAACTGATTTTTCGGATTTTGCTTTAACCACTTCCTCATCATTTGATTGTGCTACTAAGTAGGTGTTGGATACGAGTTGTACTCATCATATGACTACTCACAAGGATTGATTTTCAAGCTTGAAAGAGTTGTATCAATGGTCCCTCAATTTTAACCTAATTGGAGTCATGGTCTCTCAACTAAAAATCTATAACTATTAGTCCTTTAACTCCTTAAAACGTGCAACTATGGTCACTTTCTTCAATCCCTGTTAGAACTTCCGTCAAAATAAGTCACATGCCATACACATCAGGCTGAATCGAAGTGCAAATATAGAAAACCAAATGAGAAAAATTGTCGCAACGGTCTCTCACTTTTAACCCAACTAGACAAATGGTCCCTCAATTTTAACTCAATTAGAGCAATGGTCCCTTAACTTTAACCCACTTGTAGCAATGGTTCTTCCAACATAACTCATTTTAACGGAATTTTGACGGAGTGAATGAAAAGGACCATAACTGCATATTTTGATGAGTTAATGGACCAATGATCATAAATTTTGAGTTGAGGGGGCCATTACTCCAATTTGGATTAAAATTGAGAGACCATTGCTCTAATTTTCTCTTCTATTTCCCGCACACCATTTTTATTAATTTTTGTTCTTTCATCTTTAATTTACAGCCAAAATTGAGTCATGTGTAGAAAGTAAAAATAGGTGTGTGGATATCATAGACCTTTGTCAATATGACGTCAGTATATGAAATATAATATTGACATAAAGACGTTTATAATTGGTAACTATATGTTAATGTAATATATAGAAGACCCAGGTTTAGTCAGCTTCTCCTCCGTTTGCACTCATCAAGATCGAATTCACTTTTATGTATTTAGATGAATTTATAGTAAAACATTATTTGTATTGACAGAATTATCCGGAAGAGTGGCAAAAGTGCTTCATTCCCTTTATTGGTACCATACTATTTGTATGTATTCTTCCGCAAACTCATAGTTTAGGGTACCCAAACTATTCTGAAACCTGGAAACTAAAAACGACTCAAACTTATATTTTAACTCCAATCAAGATTTATCATTGTATCGAAACAACTCTAATCGATTTCTTCATGCCCTTCAGCATCCCGGAGAAGAAAGTGTTCATTGCTGAAACGTCAAATTGCAGCAATCACATTGACTTGTACTGCAAGAAATGAGTACGGTCGTACAAACAGAAGTATTCAAAATGGTGTCTTTTCTTTGCGGACAAAGTATAGGCCAGTAGGACCACCATTGGGGAGTAGCGCCAACCTGACGATGCTTTCAGCACCTTCATTGATGGTTAAGACACCAAGATTGAAGCTCATATCTGTTTTTACTAACCCAGGGCTCCCACAGTTGATGCAGAAATTCGGATACTTCTTGGCCAGAATCCTAGTGTACGCATTCAAGGCTACCTTTGAGACTTTGTAGGCTGGAAAGATGTGAGACCAGCCTTTGGTTTCTAGCAAATCATGTTTATAGTCTTCCAAAAACTCACTCAAAACAGCTTCTATTCTCTCTTCTGTAATGCTCTCAGCATCACTAAGTACCTCTTTGGCCCTTCCATTTGGAAAACTCTGAAGCAACACGAAAGACGGGAGAGTTTTAATTTGATTCGAAAAACAGAAAAATTCCATCTTGCCATCTGTGTAGAACTAAATACATGGATTGCTCATAATTAAACATTTCATCAACACAGTTCAGAGCCATTTCCGGAAAATTGGTTTACTCTAGCATTCAACTAATGTTCTAATGTAATTCCAGAGCTCCAATATACTTGATTAAGCACAGAAAAGACTTATAAAGTGTGTAATTCTCCGCAGATAAATTGACTAAACCATTTAGTTCAACTTCTAAAACGGTAAAACCACATTAACTACTAGTCGAAACTTGACTTATAAAGTGTGTAATTCTCCACAGATAAATTGACTAAAACTCCCTTAACCACATTAACCACATTAAGCACGGAAAAGACTTATAAAGTGTGTAATTCTCCGCAGATAAATTGACTAAACCATTTAGTTCAACTTCTAAAACGGTAAAACCACATTTTATTAGTTGTTTATACCGTCAGCTTAGCAAGAAGGGAAGAAACATTAACGATTCTTGGTGAATCCGATAGCTGGACGAGGGGCAAAAGCGCTTCAGTCACACTTTTGGCATCATAGTAGTTTGTTTTAAGGCATTCTTCTGCTAACTCGTAGTTTGGTATCGTCGATATTTCACTAAAATCAATTTCTTCAGGCTTCTGCATAATTGCATACAGGAAAAGAACGTTAATTAACACTCTCGGGAAGTTTGCATCATTATTTTCCTAAGTTACAAGAGAGAATTTCTTAGAAGGATTCTGTTCCAAAAACCTATTACTCTTATCAATCATATATATATGATTGATTTATATATAGAATCTCACCTTACCACTTACAGCTGACCTGAAACTTTCAGGGTCTACTATGCTTCCATTGATTCCAGCATTGTTTACCTAGACAGTACAAAAAGTTCCAACATTTCAACTTCAAACTTAAATTAAAACAAGAAGCTGAATTGCAATATTATCTCTACTGATCTAAGCAAGAAAACCCAACTTAATTTTCAAGATTTACATACCAAGATATCGAGTTTCACGAATTGGGTTTTGACAAAATCTGCAAGGGAAGCAATGCTAGCAGAATCTGTAACATCAAGCTAATGAAAAACCACAAGCTCAGAGAGCCCAAAATCTTTCAATTTCTCAACAGCTTTAAGACCCCTCTTCTCATCTCTTGCAGTTAACACTACTATGACCCCCTTTGAAACCAATTGCTTAACAATTCCAAATCCAACCCCTTTGTTTGCCCCTGTCACAACTGCATACCTGACCAAAATATGAAAAACAGATTTCAGATAAATAAGAAAAAATGGGATTTTATTTATGTGGTTAAAGGATGAAGAAAACTAGACACTTACCTTTTACTTGCTTCTGCCATTGTTGATTGTCTTTGAGCTTGTTCCTTCGCTTGGCTCTTTCCTGGTTGTCAAAGTTTCATGCCATCATTTTTTTTAAAGAAAGTTAGGATCAGATGCCATGATTATATTAATATTTTTTGTAGTCTTTAGTAGACTCACTTGTTTAATCTCATATTTTTTTATTTTTTTATTTTTTTTAAATATTCATATTGTTTATGCAGTGAGGTCATATACTTTAAAGAACATAGTGTATACAATGAGATCGTATAAAACTCCAAACTTGTTATCTTCGCCATAAGGTAGTCAAAGATCACATGATCACTTATTTTTGGATTTGATATCAGGAATTAAAGAAATAAACGGATGTGCTTTCAAGATTTTAATCCCAGTGATCATGAGTTCTTAGTCACCATGTGACAAAAAAACGAGACTTTAGAATATAACTTTAACATCTTTTGTTTTTAGTTTTAAAGTATGAAGTTTTGGTGCAATTTGGAATCATTAGTTTGCTAGTCTACGATAGTACTATAATGTGCTTGTAAATTAGAGTAATTTAGAATCACATTCATCAAAAAACAAAAAAGTTTGAAGTTTTGGTTTAGTTTATAGGCCTTTGGACTTCCTTTTACACCCTAAGAAAAGACAAGTTTTGGGCCTTTGGCTGAGTTGGCTGTATTGCTTCTTTTCCGTCTGTTTGAGCTTTAAGCCCTCGTCCTTACCAAGCTAAAAATCGACCATCTCAATCAAATCTACTAAAGTCGCCAAGCCAATCACCATATCTTCATCTTCTAGCATTTTACATTTTATTTTGACAGAATTGATACCTAGGGCGAAGAGAACGGGAGCAAGAGTGAATGGGTGACCAAGAGAACGACACTCTGTATTACAATAGGCAAGTGAATTTTCACGAACATATAACATAAGCTCATAAACTTCATTTGTTACATTGTAAACACACCAATGATGATCATTATTGATGAAACATAAAAGAACCTTCAAAAAGGTGCCACTTCTTTCCGAGAAAAGTAGAGGCCAGTAGAACTGCCGTTGGGGAGTAACGCCAACCTGACAATGCTTTCAGCACCTTCGTCGATGGTTAAGATGCCAGCATTGAAGCTCATGTCAGTTTTGACAAATCCAGGGCTGCCACAGTTGATGCAGAAATTTGGATACTTTTTGGCCAAAATCCTAGTGTACGCGTTCAAGGCTGCTTTCGAGACACTATAGGGTGGAAAAAAAGGAGGCCAGATTTTGGTGTCTTGCAAACCTTGTTTAGAGTCTTCCAAAAATCCACTCAACACAGAATCTATTCTCTCTTCTGTAAGTGTCTCTGCATCACTCAGTACCTCTTTAGGCCATCCATTTGGAAAATTCTGAAGCGTCGTGCAAGACAACAGAGTTTTAGTTTGATTTTGAAACAGAAAATATGTCATCTGTGTATAGAAAGGTTTAGTAAGTTCCAACCAAGCACACTTAAAAATAAAAAACAGATGAAGGACAAAGAGTTCTCCAGTATTTTTTGTTAGGCAAATAAATCGGTTGAAAATCTTTGGTTCAATTTGATCAACCATATCAACAACTAAGTGGAACTTGATCCTGTTAGGAGAAAACCATACCACTAGGTTAGCAGCACCGGTAGAAACATTGACGATTCTGGGGGAATCTGATAGCTGAAGGAGGGGCAAAAGAGCTTCAGTCACTCTTTTTGTACCATAGTAGTTTGTTTTCAGGCATTCTTCTGCTAACTCGTAGTTTGGTATGATCGGTATTTCATTCCAATTTATTTCTTCAAGCTTCTACATCCGGGAGAAAAACGTTAATTAACCCCTTGGAAGTTTTCCATCATTACTTTCCCAATTGAAGTTGTAAGAGAACGTAATTTGTACAATGATTGTGTCCCAGAAGTATTGAATAATTCCTAACCTCATCTTAAAATACAACTGGGAAGCGAATTTCGCACTCCCTCTTCACCCTTTCACTCCTTTTTTGTTCCCAGCCTTTGGATTGAATATATTAAAGAAAAATCAAGGGAAAAAAAAAAGGAGAGTGATGCAAAAGGAGAAAACGAGGGTCTGAAAACCGCTACCCACTACACAAGAAAATGCTTTGCGTCTAATAAATAACTTTTACTGATCCATATAAATAATATATATGTATGTATACAGAACCTCACCTTACCAGTAGCAGCTGACATAAAAGCTTCAGGGTTTACTATGCTTCCATTAATTGCTGCGTTATTTACCTACACAGCACAAAAGTTCCATCTTTGTTATGTTTACTTCAACTTAAAACAGAAATTAAAGCAAATATCATCATTCATCAGCAGGTAATCCGAAATTAATAATAAACTGTATTGCTTAACCTAACCAGTAAAAATCAGCTCAGTTTTGAAATTTACATACCAAGATATCGAGTTTTCCGAATTGGGTTTTCACAAAATCCGCCAATACAGCAGCGCTAGCAGAATCTGTTACATCAAGCTGATGAAAGACAACGAGATCAGAAATGCCAAAATCTTTCAGTTTTTCAAGAGCTTCAAGACCCCTCTTCTCATCTCTAGCAGTCAACACAACTACGACTCCTTTTGAAGCCAACTGCTTAACTGTGCCAAATCCAACCCCTTTGTTAGCTCCTGTCACAACTGCATACCTGACAGAAAAACAAAATTAAGAAATTCTGGAAAAAAAAGAAAAGAAAAAGAAAGATAATATGTAAGAAAAAATGGGTGTTATAAATAAAACTACCTCTTTACTGCTTCTGCCATTGTTAAATTGATTTGCTTTCAGCTTTTTCTTTCTTTCTAGTTCTCAGACCAATATTTATGGACATTTGGCCGGTTTTTCATACTCACATCTTACAATTCGTCAGTTTTTTTGCAGATGCGTATACAATGAGGTCATATGAAATATTTGCAGATTGTGCATGGATTGAGGTCATATGACGTTGGCTATTTTTTTTCTTCCTTCTGGGCCTCATTTAAGATCCACAAAAAATAAAGTTACGGGCCATGTTAAACGCAATTCTAATCAATTCATTCAGTGATCCAAGGCTCGTTCGGTGGCATATGGTTCAACGACATTCTCTATTTTTGTTTTCTTACTCTTTGTAATCAACTTCTACTACTCTTTTTCAAGATCTGTAGAAACTTATGGAATATATTTTTCTTGATTAAATTTACGATTTTTGAATAACTATGTTGAAAAATGAATTTTCAGCCAGGCTCCTGAATGAAGGTACCAAAGATATAATAGATTGAGAACAAAATATTCTCCAACGTCTTATTGAAGGCAAGCAAATTGACTGAAATGTTTTTGTTCAAAAACTTTATCAACCATATTAACAACCCCTATAAACTTTGATTTGTTACGAGCATGCCTAGGAAATATATTTTTCAAAGTTGCTCACCGTTAGCTCAGCAACACCGGAAAAATATTGCCAATTCTTGGTAAATCAGATAGCTAGAAGAGTAACACATTCGTTCTGAAACTCGCAGTTTGTGGCTCGATTTTTCACTCTACTTGACTTGTCATGTTAGACAAATAAGGAATATGGTTGGAGTCCTTGTGTAATTGTATATAATATTATTCACTAGCCGTCCTATAGCCGTCCTACAACCGTCCTACCTTGTCCTACCTACACACTAGCCGTCCTACAGCCGTCCTACCTTGTCCTACCTACACAATAGCCGTCCTACCTTGTCCTACCTACACAATAGCCGTCCTACAGCCGTCAAGTCGTCCTACAGCCGTCCTACCTTGTCCTACCTACACACTAGGACGGCTACCTTGTCCTACCTACACACTTGTATCATGTATATATATCCTTGTAATCTTGTAGAGAAAGATAATGAGAAAAAAAAAAAGCATTCTCTTCCATTTTAGCATTCTCTTCCATTTTTCCACATTCACGTATCAATAACAAATATATTTTTAGCCTACATATCTTTTTCTACATGGTATACAGAGCAGGTTTATAACCCTAGCCCTAATTTTTTTTTCGGCAGCTTTCTCTGCCGTTCCCATGGCTGACTCTTCTTCTTCCGATGGTGTTTTTTCCCTTCATCATTCCGACCACCCGAATCTTGTCCTTGTATCCAAGAAGTTGAATGGTGATAACTACACATCCTGGGCCCGTGGCATGCAGCTTTCCTTGAGTGCCAAGAATAAACTTGGTTTCATCACTGGCGATATCCAAGAACCTTCTTCCTCCGACGACCCTGATGCTCACGCGGCTTGGCGTCGTTGCAATGACATGATTCTCTCTTGGCTTCTGCATTCCTTGGAACCTGACCTTCAAGAATCTGTGCTTTTTTCCACCTCTGTCCAAGCTGTATGGGATGATCTTCGCGAACGCTTCTCTCAGAGTAATGCTCCACGCATCTTCCAACTCAACCGGGAACTTGCTACAATTTCTCAAGGTTCTTCTTCTATCTCCGCCTATTTTACTCGCCTGAAAGCTCTCTGGGATGAGCTTGCTTCTTACAATGATGGCTGCACGTGCTCTTGCAATGCCAAGCATGACCGTCAACAACTCATGCAATTTTTAATGGGCCTCAACGAATCCTTTGCTGCTGTTCATGACCAGATTCTTTTAATGAATCCCCTTCCCACTGTTCGTCAGGCCTGTTCCTCGATGTCTCAAGCTGAAAAACAACGCTCCCTGGGCGTCCTCCACTCTGTCGATCAACCTGCTGCCATGGCTATTCGTGGCCCGTCCCGTCCCTCCTCTGCTCGTCCTCCCCTCCACTGCACCTACTGCAATTTTGATTATCATACCCGAGACACCTGCCATAAACTTCATGGCTATCCCGTTGGCCATCCCCTCCATGGCCAACCGTGGCGACCACCGCGCCGTGTAGGCCTGGCAAACGGGTCGTGTCTGTCGTGTTCGTGTCGTTTTCGTGTAACACCTGTTATCTTAACGGGTCGTGTCGTGTCACACCCGTTATCTTAACGGGTCCTTAACAGGTCGTGTCACTTTACCCAACGGGTAAAGTGACCCGACCCGTTATGACCCGTTATGACCCGTTAAGAAAAAAATATATTTTTTTACAATTTGCACATACCACACATTGCGACATAAATATTACTTGAAAACATTAAAACATTTCTCGTTCAAGTACTATATCTACACTCGAAAATGAAAGCCTAATAAAAAAAAATAATACATACACTACTAATTTATTACAAATATTAAATGTGCAAGGATAAAGAGTTTTTGTTTTTAAGATTGTAAGTCTTTCTTAAAAGTTTACACCTCCATTTACAAAATCTTCAATTTACATCGAACATCATGAAATTATATTGGAACTTTGGCTTGATCTATTGCCTTCAAGGAGTGTAGTTATAAAAAATCATCAAAATCGGAGTTAAAATAACCGTTAAATCTTGATTTTTCGTTTATAACCGTCGAAAAGCTTTGTCCCGCTACTTGATCTCTGAATATATTTTTTTTGTGATTTTTTGCTGATGTGATCTCCAAGCACATACAAACAATTTTGACGGTTTTGATTGTTGAAATTAGTTTTGGAGAATTCGTAAAATGATAGATTGACTAACACTTAGAGTTTATTTATACTTTTATTAAGTATAACATAAGATTTTGTGGTATCCACTTGTGTAAATATTTTAAATTGAAGATCGAATTCATTCATTATATTCATATAGGGTCAAGGAGTGTAGTTATAAAAAATCATCAAAATCGGAGTTAAAATAACCGTTAAATCGTGATTTTTCGTTTATAACCGTTGAAAAGCTTTGTCCCGTTACTTGATCTTTGAATGTTTTTTTTTTGTGATTTTTTGCTGATGTGATCTCCAAGCATATACAAACAATTTTGACAGTTTGGATCGTTGAAATTAGTTTTGGAGAATTTGTAAAACGATAGATTGACTAACACTTAGAGTTTATTTATACTTTTATTAAGTATAACATAAGATTTGTGGTATCCACTTGTGTAAATATTTTAAATTGAAGATCGAATTCATTAATTGTATTCATATAGGGTCAAGGAGTGTAGTTATAAAAAATCATCAAAATCGGAGTTAAAATAACCGTTAAATCTTGATTTTTCGTTTATAACCGTCGAAAAGCTTTGTCCCATTACTTGATCTCTGAATATTTTTTTTTTGTGATTTTTTGCTGATGTGATCTCCAAGCATATACAAACAATTTTGACGGTTTTGATCGTTGAAATTAGTTTTGGAGAATTCGTAAAAGGATAGATTGACTAACACTTAGAGTTTATTTATACTTTTATTAAGTATAACATAAGATTTTGTGGTATCCACTTGTGTAAATATTTTAAATTGAAGATCGAATTCATTCATTATATTCATATAGGGTCAAGGAGTGTAGTTATAAAAAATCATCAAAATCGGAGTTAAAATAACCGTTAAATCGTGATTTTTCGTTTATAACCGTTGAAAAGCTTTGTCCCGTTACTTGATCTTTGAATGTTTTTTTTTTGTGATTTTTTGCTGATGTGATCTCCAAGCATATACAAACAATTTTGACGGTTTGGATCGTTGAAATTAGTTTTGGAGAATTCGTAAAACGATAGATTGACTAACACTTAGAGTTTATTTATACTTTTATTAAGTATAACATAAGATTTGTGGTATCCACTTGTGTAAATATTTTAAATTGAAGATCGAATTCATTCATTGTATTCATATAGGGTCAAGGAGTGTAGTTATAAAAAATCATCAAAATCGGAGTTAAAATAACCGTTAAATCTTGATTTTTCGTTTATAACCGTCGAAAAGCTTTGTCCCGTTACTTGATCTCTGAATGTTTTTTTTTTGTGATTTTTTGCTGATGTGATCTCCAAGCATATACAAACAATTTTGACGGTTTTGATCATTGAAATTAGTTTTGGAGAATTCGTAAAACGATAGATTGACTAACACTTAGAGTTTATTTATACTTTTATTAAGTATAACATAAGATTTTGTGGTATCCACTTGTGTAAATATTTTAAATTGAAGATCGAATTCATTCATTGTATTCATATAGGGTCAAGGAGTGTAGTTATAAAAAATCATCAAAATCGGAGTTAAAATAACCGTTAAATCTTGATTTTTCGTTTATAACCGTTGAAAAGCTTTGTCCCGTTACTTGATCTTTAAATGTTTTTTTTTTGTGAGTTTTTGCTGATGTGATCTCAAAGCATATACAAACAATTTTGACGGTTTTGATCGTTGAAATTAGTTTTGGAGAATTCGTAAAATGATAGATTGACTAACACTTAGAGTTTATTTATACTTTTATTAAGTATAACATAAGATTTTGTGGTATCCACTTGTGTAAATATTTTAAATTGAAGATCGAATTCATTCATTGTATTCATATAGGGTCAAGGAGTGTAGTTATAAAAAATCATCAAAATCGGAGTTAAAATAACCGTTAAATCTTGATTTTTCGTTTATAACCGTTGAAAAGCTTTGTCCCGTTACTTGATCTTTGAATGTTTTTTTTTTGTGATTTTTTGCTGATGTGATCTCCAAGCATATACAAACAATTTTGATGGTTTGGATCGTTGAAATTAGTTTTGGAGAATTTGTAAAACGATAGATTGACTAACACTTAGAGTTTATTTATACTTTTATTAAGTATAACATAAGATTTTGTGGTATCCACTTGTGTAAATATTTTAAATTGAAGATCGAATTCATTCATTGTATTCATATAGGGTCAAGAAGTGTAGTTATAAAAAATCATCAAAATCGGAGTTAAAATAACCGTTAAATCGTGATTTTTCGTTTATAACCGTTGAAAAGCTTTGTCCCGTTACTTGATCTCTGAATGTTTTTTTTTTGTGATTTTTTGCTGATATGATCTCCAAGCATATACAAACAATTTTGACGGTTTGGATCGTTGAAATTAGTTTTGGAGAATTCGTATGCCATCAATCAAGTTCCGTGTGTGTGTGTGTGTGTATATATATATTTATTAAGTAGATTTAAATCTATTTATTTTGTACGTATAAATTATAATTGACTGGTACACGGAATAATACATACATCACGTGTCACGTGTTCATTATAAAAATAGTGAGATATGTCATGACAGTCATGTGTGTGATAAAAAGTTAATAACTTAAAAAAAAAAAAAAATTTCTCACCACTTCTATTAATTTTCATTTTTCCCTCTCTTTTTTGTTTCCTTTTCAACTTTTTCTTATCATTTTCACTTTTCCCTCCAACATCTTTCCCTAATTCCCTCACTTTTTTGTTTTATTTTCAACTTTTCTTAACATTTTCATTTTCCCTCCATTTTTTTTTCCAAAAAGGACGGCAAGTTGGCATGATCATGCATATTAAATTATTAATTAATATGCATTATAATTTTTATAAAATTTAATATATATATATATATAATATAATTAGTATAGATAGACTTAATATTTTGGGGGTATAATTATTATAGTATATATAATTATTATAATTATTATAAATTTTATAGTTAATTTAATATATATATATATATATTTATTATAATTTTTAGGGGTATAAAATTGTAAAATTAATGTATATAATTATTACAATATTTTTTTAGGGGTTATAAAATTATAAAAATAATATTCTGCTTATCGTGTATCGTGTTTACCCACGTGTATACCCGACCCGACCCGTTATCTTAACAGGTGCTTATCGGGTTACCCGATAAGACCCGATTCGTTATCGTGTCGACCCAAACACCTGTTAATTTCGTGTCGTGTCGTGTCGGGTTATCGGGTCGTGTCAGAAATTGCCAGGCCTAGCGCCGTGCCACTGCTTCCAGTTCTTCCCGCAGCCATGCACCTTCCAGTCCTTCCCGGCAGCCACGGTTTTCTGCTTCCCGGCCCCATAATTTCACCCAGGCCCATCACGTGCAAGGCACCCAGGCCCCCACCTCCTCTTCTACTCCAACGACCCACCAAGTGCACGGGGCCCAGCCCACTTTGCATGACTTGCAGCTTGCCATGCCTGACCTCTCTGCCGAGCAGCACTCCCGTGTTCTAGCTGCTCTACGTGACACCACCACCCCTCCTCAGGCCAATGCCGTGCTCACTACTGATTTTGCCCAAGGTTTGTTACCTGTCACCTCTCGTCATGGTCAATGGATTCTTGACAGTGGTGCTACGGATCATATTACTTCTTCCGCCTCATGTTTGGTTAATCGTTCTCCTTCACATTTGCCGCCTGTTTCTTTGCCTAGTGGTGCTTCCGCTCCTATTACTGTTACCGGCACTCTTCCTTTAAATTCATCAGTTACTTTGAAGGATGTTTTATGTGTCCCTAATTTCCGAGTGGACCTTTTATCGGTTGGTAAACTTACAGATGGATTATCGTGTTCCATAACCTTCTTTCCTTCTTGGTGTGTTTTGCAGGACTTGGTTTCGAAGGCGATGATTGGTGTGGGTAAGCGACGTGGCGATCTGTATTACCTTGTGGCCCTTACCTCTTCTCTCCCCACCCGTCAACCTCTCTGCAACATCATTACCATCCCCTCCTCCCTCTGGCATAGGCGTCTTGGTCACCCCTCCTCCACTCGTTTGCAAGCTTTAGCATCTAGCTCTCTTAATTGTACTTTTGATTCTAGTCATATTTGTGATGTTTGTCCGTTGGCAAAACAAACTCGTCAACCTTTTCTTTTGAGTTCAATTTCATCAACTTTCCCTTTTGCTTTAATTCATTGTGATATTTGGGGCCCGAATCGTCAATCTTCTCTTTCTGGTGCTCATTATTTCTTAACCATTGTGGATGATTTTTCTCGCTTTACGTGGGTCTTCCTCATGAAACATAAATCCGACACTCAACAATTAATTAAGGATTTTTTTGCTTATGTCACTACCCAATTCCGCACTACCATCCAATGCATTCGTACTGACAATGGTGGTGAATTTTTATCTCTTCGTAGTTTTTTCTCTGATCATGGGGTGCTTCTACAAACCTCTTGTGTTTATAGCCCCCAACAAAATGGCGTTGTTGAAAGAAAACATCGTCATCTTCTTGAAACCGCTCGCGCCATTCGTTTTCAATCCCATCTTCCTATCAAGTTTTGGGGGGAATGTGTTCTTACCGCTACTTATCTCATCAATCGTCTCCCTACCCGTCTTCTCCATCATAAATCCCCATTTGAGGTTCTCTTTTCGAAAACCCCATCTTATGACCACTTCCGCGTCTTTGGTTGTCTGGCATATGCCACCTCTGTCACTCCCACCACCAAATTTTCCCCTCGGGCTCATCGTTGCATTTTTCTCGGTTATCCTCATGGACAAAAGGCCTATACCCTTTACGATCTCGATAATCACCGCATTTTCACTAGTCGAGACGTCATCTTTCACGAAACTACTTTCCCTTATGCCGTTTCTCACCCTCTTATCCCATCCTCTTCGCCTACCCTACCCATCCCACCCCCTCTGGACTTTACATATAACCCACCCTTTCCTGCCCCGACGCCTCACCCTCCTCCACCTTCCTCCCCTACCACGCCTCCCACAAATTCCCTTGCTGCCCCATTACCCGTTCCTCCCCATGCCCCTTTACCCACGGACATCCCTACCCCCCCACTACCTACCAATCCTCCCCTTCCCCGCACCTCTTCCCGTGCCCATAAACCTCTATCCTATTTAAAAGGCTACGTTTGCTCGCAGGTGATTCTGCCATCCCACCCATCTTTGACTTCGCAACCCGGTTCTACACAAGGTACGCGATATCCACTTTGTAATTTTCTCTCTTATCACCGTTACTCTCCCATGCATTTTTCTTACATTAACTCTGTCAGTCGGACTGTGGAGCCTTCCTCCTTTGCCGAGGCTGCCACTGACCCCAATTGGCAACGTGCTATGACTGAGGAGCTTCAAGCTTTACATGCTAATGGTACTTGGACTTTAACTTCCTTGCCCCCTGGCAAAATTCCCATTGGTTGTAAGTGGGTGTACAAACTCAAGCACAATTCCGACGGCTCTATTGACCGCTACAAAGCTCGTTTGGTTGCTAAAGGCTTCACTCAGGCTGAAGGTATTGATTATCATGACACTTTTTCTCCTACTGCTAAGATGATTACGGTGCGTTGTCTTCTTGCTCTTGCTGCTAGTCAGTCTTGGTCTCTTCATCAGCTTGATGTTAATAATGCTTTCTTACATGGTGACTTACATGAAGAAATCTATATGTCTCTTCCTCCTGGTCTTCGGCGACAGGGGGAGAATCTTGTGTGTCGCCTTCACAAGTCACTTTATGGTCTTAAGCAGGCTTCTCGCCAATGGTTTGCCAAATTCACTAGTGCCATCATTTCTGCCGGTTTTCAACAATCCAAAGCTGACTATTCATTGTTCACTAAAAAGTCTGGTATTTCTTTCACAGCTTTGCTCATTTATGTGGATGATATTGTGATTACAGGCAATGATGCTAGTGCCATTAATTCTCTGAAGTCTTTTCTCCGTGATCATTTTCGGATAAAAGACCTTGGTGATTTAAAATATTTTTTGGGCATTGAGGTTTCTCATTCCAAACAAGGGATTTATATTTCTCAACGCAAGTATGCATTAGAGATTCTCAAGGACTATGGTTTTTTGGGAGCATGACCCATTGCTTTTCCTATGGATGACACAAAATTATCTGATAAAGGAGAACTTCTCAAGGATCCTGAAAAGTATCGACGATTAGTAGGTCGGTTAATATATCTCACTATCACTCGGCCGGATATCACCTATTCTGTGCATGTTCTAAGCCGTTTTATGCACGAGCCAAGGATATCTATACGGATGCTGCGCTTCGTATTGTTCGTTATTTGAAGGCTACTCCAGGTCAAGGTTTATTATTTCGTTCTGACAACCAGACCAAGTTAACTGCGTTTTGTGATTCTGATTGGGCAGGTTGCCCTATCACTCGCCGTTCGACTACTGGGTATTGTGTATTCTTGGGCGGTTCTTTGATTTCTTGGCGGACGAAACGACAGAAAACCGTTTCGCTCTCTTCAGCAGAGGCGGAATATAGGGCCATGGCAGGTGCTTGTTGCGAGATAGTTTGGCTTCGTTTTTTGTTGAAGGATTTGAACATTCCTTTGGATGGTCCTTCCATTTTATTTTGTGATAATCAAGCAGCGTTACATATAGCTGCCAATCCTGTTTTTCATGAACGAACTCGTCACATTGAGATGGATTGTCACTTTATACGAGATAAGATTGTAGATGGCACAATAGAGACCAAGCATGTGGGTACGGCACAACAGTTGGCAGACTTGTTTACCAAACCTCTTGGGAAAGAAAAGTTTTCGGGTATGTTACGCAAGTTGGGAGTTCTTGACATCCACTCTCCAACTTGAGGGGGAGTGTTAGACAAATAAGGAATGTGGTTGGAGTCCTTGTGTAATTGTATATAATATTATTCACTAGCCGTCCTACAGCCGTCAAGCCGTCTTACAGCCGTCCTACCTTGTCCTACCTACACACTAGCCGTCCTACAGCCGTCCTACCTTGTCCTACCTACACAATAGCCGTCCTACAGCCGTCAAGTTGTCCTACAGCCGTCCTACCTTGTCCTACCTACACACTAGGACGGCTACCTTGTCCTACCTACACACTTGTATCATGTATATATATCCTTGTAATCTTGTAGAGAAAGATAATGAGAAAAAAAAGCATTCTCTTCCATTTTAGCATTCTCTTCCATTTTTCCACATTCACGTATCAATAACAAATATATTTTTAGCCTACATATCTTTTTCTACACTTCATGTTCTTTTACATCCAGGAGACGATGCATTAACTTATAGGCGGAATAAAACAGTAGAAGGATTGTGTTTACAGAAAACTGCAATAGTGTTCATTGCCGAATACTCAAATTGCAGCATTGACACTTATTTATTATAAATGTCTAAGAAAAATTTCTTTAACAATCATCATAAAAATTTCTAGAGAAAGTGATCACACACACCCCTATTACGAAAGTCCCTTCATCTGTTACATTGTGTAAAAACTATTAAGTACTCAGAACGAAGCGACTTCTTTCTGACCAAAGTAGAGACCAGTAGGACCACCGTTGGGAAGTAGCGCCAACCTGACGGGGCTTTCAGCACCTTCGTCGATGGTTAAGTTGCCAACATTGAAGGTTATATCTGTTTTGACAAATCCAGGGCTCACACAATTGATGCAGAAATTCGGATACTTCTTGGCCAGAATCCTAGTGTATGCGTTCAAGGCTGCTTTTGAGACTGTATAGGGTGGAAAAATAGGAGACCAGATTTTGGTGTCTCCTTTTTTGAAGTCTTCCAAAAATATAATCAACACAGAATCTATCTTCTCTTCTGTAAGTCTCTCGGCATCACTTAGTACCTCTTTCGCCCATCCATTTGGAAAATTCTGAAGCAGCATGAAAGACAGGAGAGTTTTGGTTTGATTTTGAAACACAAAAAATTGCATCTTACGTATAAAAAAACAGAAGGATTCCTTTTTGTAAAACAGATGAAGGACAGAGTTCTCTAATACTTTTCATAAAAGGAAAACAACTTGACTGAAATATTAATTTGGTTCAATTTCATCAACTATTTGAACAACCAAGTGGAAATTTGATCTTGTCAAGGGCATGCCAGAAAAAGAAACAGATTTTTATGTTGATCATACCATTAGTTTACCAACACCGGAAGAAACATTAACGATTCTTGGAGAATCAGACAGCTGGAGGAGGGGCAAAAGCGCTTCAGTCACACTCTTGGTACCATAGTAGTTTGTCTTCAGGCATTGTTCCGCTACCTCGTCGTTTGGTATGGTCGGTATTTCACTCCAATTGATTTCTTCAGGCCTCTGCATCCCAGAAAAAAAGTTAACCCTCTTGGAAGTTTTCCATCATCAATTTCCCTAATTAATTTATAAAGTTATACGGAAATGAAATTGTACAAGGATTGTGTTCCCAGAAAATTGTATTGCATAAGGCCCTAACTTCATCTCAAATGGGGAAAGGGAAGCGATTTTCGCACTTCCTTTTCTCCCCCGCTACTCATTTCTTTTTTCTTCCTAGCATTTGGATTGAATACATGTAAGGAGAGTCAAGCAACAAAGACAAGAGAGTAATACAGTAGAAAAAGAGAGCATGAAAATCGCTATGCACAAGGAAATTGTTTTGCATCTGTTAAACTTTTCGCCTGGATGTAACTTTTACTGATTCACAAGGTTGCTCTTGTCCATTAATCTTGCTTCCAATTCCAAAAGGCAAAACATCTTACCATTGTGATGAAGGTTATGATATGTATATATATCTACACATATATATATATACACACACACAGAGAACCTCACCTTACCACTTGAAGCTGATTTGAAATCTTCAGGGGTTACTATGCTTCCAACAACTGCTGCATTGTTTACCTACACAGTACAAAATTGCCAAAAATTTCATCCCTGTCATCTCTGCCTTCATCAGTAAGTAATTAACCAGAGATTAATCATCTTTGCTCTATATTGCTCAACTTAAACGGTAAAAATAAGCTCAAAATTTCAATATTTACTTACCAAGATATCGAGTTTTCCGAATTGGGTTTTGACAAAATCCGCCAATCTAGCAGCACTAACAGAATCTGTTACATCAAGCTGATGAAAAACAACGACATCAGAAATGCCAAAATCTTTCAGTTTTTCAAGAGCTTCAAGACCCCTCTTCTCATCTCTAGCAGTTAACACAACTACGATGCCGTTGGAAGCCAACTGCTTAACTGTGCCAAATCCAATCCCTTTGTTAGCTCCTGTCACAACTGCATACCTGACAGAAATAAACAAAAAACGCCAATGAAAATATATTGGGAAATTCTGGAAGAAGAAAAGAAGATAATTCATAAGATATGGGCTTTTTATTTATACACTTACCTCTTTACTGCTTCTGCCATCGTTAAATTGGTTGGGTTTCAGCTTTTTCTTTCTTTCTAGTTCTCAGACCATATTTATAGATATTTGACTAGTTTTCAGACTCACTTCTTACAATTCCTCAGATTTTTGCGTATTGTGCAAGAACCAAGTTGTATTATTTTGACCTTTTTTTTTTTGCCCCTTTGGGGTTTGAAATTTGAGCCACCACCCCCCTTGGGGTTTCTGGGCTTCATATAAAACCCACAAAAAAAGACGACTTTTTGGGCCATGTCAAATACAATTCTAGTGGATCCATTAAGCTATTATAGGCCCGCTTGGTATGCGGAGAGGGAAGTAATAGACTTGAAGATCACGTCGTGTTTGTTGTGTTCGTTTCATTTTCATGACATACTCGATATCTTAACGGATCATGTCTTGTCAATGCCATTAATCTTAACTGATACTTTAACCCAACCCGTATTTTAACGGGTAATAATTTATTTTACTTCAATAAATTAGCAAATAAAAAAATCATCCTAAATTAGTATCTACATACCACTTTGTCATATAAATATTACTTTAAAACAATAAAAAAATATTTATCTTTCAGATATTATAAACCCCAAACTGAGAGCCTAATGAAAAAACATTATACATTGCTACAAAATATCAAAATGTACAAGGACATGCAAATTGCAAAATGAAGGGAGTTTTTTTTTTTTTTTTTTTTTTTTTTTTTTCCAACATTGTAGATCCTTTCTCATAAGTCAGAACCTTGCCAATGAGTTGAATGAGACTCAAAGCATGAACGTTGTTTTTTACAGCAAAATCCTTCAATTTTTATCACACTAAGAAATTGTATTGGAACTTTGGCTTCATCTATTGTCTTCAACAGTTAAGTTGGCGATGTTTTTCGTAAAACTTTCCACATTAGCACTCTCTTTCACATAAACTAAACATAACAATTACCAAACTAACATTTTTCTTAACAAGTTGAAAATGGTAACCCGCCTTAGCACTCTCTTCACCATAAAAATGCGTGTCAAATGTGTGTTCAACATAGAGATTACAACTTAAATAGAAAAAAAGACAATAACCGACTTAGCAAATTAAAAGGCACGACTAAACCATTACTTGGAACACAACACCATCCACTACTTGATAGACTCCACAATATCTGAGATATGCCTAAAGAATAAGTAAATCCACAACAGACCACCTAAACTATAGGAATGCACCTTTATTGAAAAACAAATAACATGAGTATTTTAACCATATATATATATATATATATATCATCTTCAATCAAAACTCTGCCACTTAATACTGAGAAAAGAAGAAGCCAGAAGGACCATAATTGGTCAGCAACGCTAACTTCACAACCCTTGCAGCACCTTCTTCAACAATCAAGACGCCGGTGGTGTTGGTTAGATCTGTTTTAACTGATGCAGGGCAAAGCCAATTTATGCTAAAATTTGGTACTTCGTGGTTAGAATCCTATGTTAGTTGAAGGTGCCTTGGTGAAGCTTTGAGTAGGTTCTTAGACTCTTACAAAGTTCATTGTTTTCAAGCGTGCCATTGCTGGCCAAGACCAACAAATTGTTTAATATTTGGATGTTTTTAGGTCATTTGCTTGTACCACAAGTAAACTGAGCCTCTTTATCAAAAGACTGTTCCATGGAGGTGTTAAATCCATATGAGATTCTTTTCTTCGCCTTGAAGACAAGAACTTTATATTTTTCTTATCTTAAATGCCAAGATACAACCACAATCTGATCAGAACTCATCCAAGTCAGTTTGCAATCTTTGTGAAAAGAGTAAAGATGAAAAGTAAAGCCAAACAAAGAGTAAGTAAAAAACTAAATGTAAAGCGTTGGTAAGTATTTGTAAAATGTTAACTAAAATGACAATAAATTTCATTAAAGGATAATAACTTGAAAATCAATGACAAATACAAGTGTTGACCTCTAAAAATTACAAAGCTTACGTGGCACGCAGGCCGAGTAACTAATAAGCTAACTACGTCCTTCGGTTGAATGCGGGGCGTGCCAACTCGTCGGCTGAGCTCGGCCGAGGAGTAAAATTTGTTGATGTTGCGTTGAGCGCATTGCTGACTTCTTTATCTTGTGACTGCGGCCGAGGAATGAACAAATCTCGGCATTTGGATTCTCGAGCCTGAAGACAAGGCTGCTAGTTCTGCGAAGTTCACAAATCGTCAGCGCTGGATTCGGTCACAGTGATTATATTCGTGAGAGTATAAGCACGTCAAATCGACACCAAACTGTACGAACACAAGTATTCAAAGGTAATGTGTGTCTTGATGGTAAATGTGGTTCGACCCTCAGAATGCCGAACTCTGAAACTCACTTAGGAGTATCCAATCATAAAACCACTCGGCGTTTAATGCGCTGAATATCGTAACTCGTAACACCTTACTTCGCCAAAAAGGCTAATAAGATGACCTCTGCCAATAAGGATTTGGAAACCCTTCTCGACCAAGACTTGGATAGGTAACCAGTAGACCTCGACGCAGTGCTGTTTATCCAAACTGAAGGTGCTCCTCGATCGGTTGAGTCTACGGAAACAGTGCTGTTTATACAAACTGAAGATGCTCACTGGCTGCCTTCACAGTGCTGTTTATCCAAATTGAAGATGTGTTGGCGAGAAAAAGAAAATAAAAAATATCAAGATGTTTGAGAGGTTTTGCGCATGGCAATTGTGTGTTGAATTGGAGGTCCCTTGAATGGTGTTCGCAGCCTTGTATATATAGAAGGAGATGTGTGGTGCGGCTTCGCTAGTAGAATTTGATTTCAATTCAAACTAGATAAGCGAGAGCCTATCCCTTAGCAAATGACAGAAAGCCATCATCACTTGACCTTGCTTTGGTATTATCACCGTTATTAAAAAAAGCCCATGTTTTTCCCTTCTTATCTTCTGGATGTATTCCACGTGGCCATTTCCTTATCTCATGATAGGCCAAAGCCTATCACCACCTATTTGCCCGTGTGCAACCATGCATGCCACGTGCTTTTCTTCCAACCACACGCACACATGCAAAACACCTTCTCTAAAAATGCATAGCCGCACGACACTTAAGCCACGTGCATAGAACCAACCCAAAAAACATGCATTAGAATAGAATCCCAATATTGCAAAATAACGGCATGATTTGGGTTTCCTAATGTGATTGAAGAACTTGAAAAATTATCCAGACCAAGTGCACGCAATTTGATATCAAAAACTTATCTTCGATCTTCTAATCCGATAGCATTCAATCTTTTGAACTCCTTAATTATCTCCACGTTTTTAGAAATAACTTTCTTAATAATTCCCCAGATAACATCGTGATTATTAAAATCATAATATTATCTAAATAAATTATTAATCAATTATCTCAACCTTCTTCCAATCCAATGGCTCAGAATTTTACTCATTCTACGGTCTCGATTGCTCAGGCCGATAGTGTAAAATTGGGTTCAAACAACAAGTAACAGGGCAAAGTTTAAACCTATTCAGGCAAGTTCAGCTACTAGTTGGGCAAGTTCTTGTGAGTACACAACATGTTCTGGGAAGGAAAATTTAACATAAGAAATAGATGCTACAAAGGAAGTTGCAGAGCAATAAATACAAAGTGTTAATTTGAACTACAAAAAGGGATGTCTGAAATTAAGTTGGAGAACTTTTAAAAGTCTTTTTGCGTGTTGAGTTCAATGTCCTTTTCCTTGAGCCTTTTCACTGCCTTTTAATACAAAAACCAAATTCAGAACAAACTACAAAAATAAGAAACAGAAGCAAAACTGGCGAATTGTTGGGAAAAGAAGTGGCCGCCTCTTTGTTGCTTCTGCTATTGACGATGACTTTATAGAGAGAGTGTAATGTTTCTTTCTGCCATTATATATTTTTTGGTAATACTAGATAAATTTATTAAAAACATCATATGATGATACAAGTGATGGTCAAAGAAAGGCAAAGGCAATCCAAAAACAACTTGAATATCAGAAAAACTTGACACGATGATTTCAGTCAATGACACAAGATTTCAGTCAATGACATTGAATGGCCAAGGCCAGGATCCTAATTTCCACTTGATTGAATTATAGGAATTTTGTTTTATTTTCAAGATTATCACCTTATGGTCTAGAAACTTGACACGATGATTTTCAGTACCTTAGCCTTATTTTCCAAATGGGCGTGCATTGTAATTCATCTAGAACATCAGTTTTTGTAAAAGATCATTAAAGTGTGCAAAATGGGTTTATAAGGCATGACCGCCTTACCCCAGAGCTTTGCGAGCAGTTGCCCCAATCGAAGTGTTGATGGATTCTTACCGAGTTGCATGAAAAGTTGATTGTATGGTCCCACAATCATCACTCCTATTATGACCACCACCGACACCAACACCACCTCTACCACCATCATCATTACCTCGTCACCAGTGCCCCCATCCCTACTCCATTACATCAACAACATCCCGCCACCATAATCACCAAAGGCACTAATTTTTCTATCATCATCTTGCCAACAATCACCATGTGACACTTTCATCACCGTTGTTGCCACCACCACCTCATAAGACCACTTTGTCATGATCATAATCACCAATTCAAGAATGAAAACTTAAAGTAATTCTTATTAATAAATAGGTCATTAAAAATTTCATGACAAGTCACATAATTCTATAAAATTCTAGCATTGAAGTCTCTAGAGGTCTACAAAAGTCTATCATTTAACTCCTTTATTTTCCACTAAAGTATATCATCAAAAGTCTATACGCAATTTTAAGGAGTTTATAATAGTCAGTAAAAGTCTACTATATCTACAAAAGTCTATCACTTTAAAAAGTCAACAAAAGTCTACTAAATACAAATGATACATATTGATTGTCATGTAAGAAAATTAGATTATTAAAACGTAGCAATGGACTGATAGAATATGTGGTACAAAGGACAAAATCTAGACTTTCAATGAAAATTTTAAGCTTCCATCATACTGGAATGTGAGATAGAGCATGTTGTATGACACTGAGTGACTTTTATTGCATGCATTGGCAACATTTGCATGTAATATAAATCATTTTCAATCAAAAACCTGTTACTTCAGACTCAACAAAGAAGAAGCCAGAAGGGCCATCATTGGGAAGAAATGCTAACTTCAGAACCCTTGCAGCACTTTCTTCGAC